GAAGGGCATTTTGATTGTTTCTAGTTTGTGGCAAGTACAGATGAAGCCGTTATGAACATTTGTGGACAGGTGTTTTGTGGACACGTTTTTTTTGTTTTAAAGATTTTTAAAAATTTTTCCTTTTTCTCCCCAAGGCCCCCGGTACATAAATGTATATTTTTAGTTGTGGGTCCTTCTAGTTGTGGCATGTGGGATGCCGCCTCAGCATGGCCTGATGAGTGGTGCCATGTCCGTGCTCAGGATCTGAACCAGCGAAACCCTGGGCCGCTGAAGCGGAGTGCACGAGCTTCACCACTCGGCCACGGGGCTGGCCCTGGACACAAGTTTTAATTTCTCTGGGTTAAGTCCCCAGGAATACAGTTGCTGAGTATTAATGATAAGTAGATGTTTAGCTTTTTAAAGAAACTGCCAAACTATTTTCAAGGGGGGCTGTACCATTTTATGGTCCCACCAGCAGTGTATTCGATCCAGTTTCTCTGCATCCTTGCCAGTATTTGGTATTGTCACCATTTTTTATTTTGGCTTTTCTAATAGATAGCATATTTGTTTTTTAAGTTCATCAGATTACTTAGTAAAACTGATTTGACTGACAAAGAGCAAAGATTTTTGAGTTGTGTGTTGTTAGCCCTCTGTGTGGCTCTCCCTCTGTAGTGTTCAGTGGTCTGCTGACTTGCTTTCTAATCCCCCCGTGACGCTTTCCTTGAGAGGGGGTAGACTAACCAAGACTAACCTTGGTGGAAGCAAGGAGTGCGAGCACAAGACTAACTCTCTCCCTTTACCCGGCAACACCTAGCACAGCACTGTTTGTAGCACAGTGCTGCTGGTGGTGGTGAAGGAACCAACGATGCTATCCCAAGACTGTGAACTTTTGGTTAATTTTTTATAAATTTGCCTCAATGAATATAGCCTTAAATATGCTGAAAATTTGGCTCAGAATGGCCCTAACAACTTGTTCAAATTGTTCTTGTTTCAGTTTATTTATCAAGTGATCTTAGGTACTTTATTCTGGTAATAGTAATTAGTGTACACTGCTCATTCTAAAATAGCACAGAAATGTCTGTATAAAGCAGAAGGTAAACCCCCATCCCTGCCGGAAGTAACTATTAAATGGTTCTAGACTTTTTAACTATATGTGTTTTGTTTCTTTCTCTATGTATGTATGTATTCTGTGTGTGTGTGTGTGTGTGTGTCTGTGTGTATTCCCCACCTGCTGTTCTGTAGTGCTTTTTTTTTTCTTCCAGTGGGTAATGTATTATGGGCATTTTTCCTGTGATTTATTTTTTGAGCACTTAATGCCTGGGACAAAGCTTTGGGTTCCTTTCTCTAACCTTCTTGTGTTTTCTTATAAAAGGGATAAGAGAGATACCTTTGAAACACCTGAACTATATTTTCTTCCTTGTTACGTGGGTTTGGGTTGAAATAAGACTGTAGCTTTATTTGCAAGTAAATCAGTAGAATTCTGGATGTTAGGATCTATGTAGCCACCTGGTAATGCAAGTCGGATTTCTGATGTGATCTCTTGCAGAACCTTGGGGGAAGCCAGAACTGTGAGCAGTCATCTTTAGCGAATGTCTAGTCCTTCGGGTATTTGTCTGCTCGTCAGGTGCTTAGTCAGATGGAGTGTTTCCTTAAGTGCTCCTGAAAGGCACAGTTCAGTCTTTATTTTGGAATGTCTCTTCCTGTCTTCTCTCCCTCTTGCATTACTTTGATTACCTTGATGGGACATCCAAGCTGTGCAGCTCAGCCTTTTATTTCCATAGCCTACAGAAACCAGTTTGAAGATTAATTGTAGGTGAACAAGTAATCTTATCTACTTGGCTGGAAATCTCCCGTCAAGATGAAACACATGTCACCAAAGGCCTCCTAGACTTGGGGATGTGAACAAAGGTAACTTAATCTTGTGGCGTTTTTAATGGAAACCAGGGTGAAAGTTTAGGAAGTTTGACTTATTGGAGACAGGGCACGAGTCTGAGGAGAGAGTGGGAGTGGGAGGGGCAGGAGTGTGTGTAGAGGAGAAGAATCAAGAGGTGTACAATAAAGAAGATTTATGAATTCAGGAAGTCGTCAAAGTTGAATTACAGAACCTTTTGTTTTGGGAGAGTAGTTACTGGGGGATAGGACAGGAGCTTACTAGTCACTTATTGAAGCTGTTGGCCTTGTTTAAGGGATGGAGTTTGACAAGGGCCTTTCCCCTGCCCTTCTTCTGTATTAGCAGCTCAGGAAAAAATGAAGAAATAGCTTTGTAGAGAAAATTATGCCCATCACATGCTTCCAAGATTGCCATTGCCAGGTTTCTAAAGTGAGCTCCTCAAGAAAGCAGTTTGGTTACGTTGCTGACTTCCTTTCTCCCAATCTTGTCATCAGGTCCTCAGACTGTGTCTTCTCGGCCTTGGATTCTTCCTTTTCCTGCAGGTTTGCTACTCTGTCAATCCCTGACACTTAGGAACGTAGAATTTCACTGTGCCTGAGGAAGGCTGATATACCCGCGGTATTGGATACCTTTCTGAACTATGGAGTGTTATACCAGAGTGGATAATAGAGTGCCCCCAGTCACACTGTGGAACAGATTCTGGTAACTGCACCAGCAGGGACACACTCTGTTCCCGTGCCCTCACGCAGCTCAGGGGTGATTTTGCTGCAAAGTGCTGTGAATCGGGTTGAACCTCACGCAGTGCCGGTTCCTATATCTGAACATGAAAGTGGCTGGTTAAAGATTAAAAGGACTGTCGGGTCCTTCTGGCCCCAAGATGGAATGATCCCCACCGTGGCGACAGCTTTGGCTCCCAGGAGAGGCCATTTTATACAGCAGGTCTGTGCTTCCACATGCTCCAGTAAGCCTGCGTCGGCTGATGCTCTGGTGATAAGTTGGCATTCGGGTACTCTGAAGACATATGAGCTATATAGCATCCCGTGGTTTGAATGTCTGGGCAGAACTGCCTCATCAGGAAGTCAAAAGCTTCTCCTTTCAAGCCATGCCTTTGGGGAGGTTTTCTCCTTTGTTTTATTTGACTATTCTGTTGAGTCAAGTGAACTTTAATTTTCACAGCCATAAAAATTCCATTAAGCCCCTTGTACTGCATCCCAGGTGTGAAAACGTCTCAGTATAACACCACTATAGGTGACAGCTAAAATCCTTAAGAGTAGTTAGGATAATTGTCTCTGGAGGCTTGAAGAAAATAATGGTCCAATCGACAAAATAAATACAGTTCAATTGTTATTTTCTTGGCGGTTCTTGTGGGTGAGGGGACTGATGTCTAAGGCTGCTCAGTGAGGCAAGTGTTGAGTCTGGTGGTCTCTGAAAAGAAACTTCATTTTACTGTGAACAGTGCTTAGGAAGCATAGTTGTGACCTGTCTCAAAACAGGATCCAGGGCCTGTCTGCGTCGAACCGCTTGGGAGAGGGAGGTGCTTATTAAAAATTCCGACTCGGGGCCTCCCTGTGCTTCTGCTAATTCAGTGTCTGGAACTGGGACGAGAAGTGATCATTTTCAATAAGCACCCCTGTTGATTCTTAGCCCTAGCGTTGATTCTCAAGTATCCTAAAATTTACTTCATTTTTCATCACTTTCTGTCATTTATTAGATGATAGATGTTTGCTTGACAATCCCATTGTCTTTTTGAAGAGGAGGTACTCTAGTTTTAAAAAAAAAGGTTATAAGATCAGAACACTGAAGATTAGAATTTGGCAATGTCCCTAATTCTTAACAAAGTGAGACTGCTGCTGGTTTCTGAAAGTTTGGGTTTATCAATTCACTGTCTTCTCAATCAGAAAAAGGATGTGGACATAAGTAAGATAAATTTTGTTAAGAAGAAGAAATGTAGGGGCCAGCCCTGTGACCAAGTGGTTAAGTTTGTGCTCTCCGCTTCCACGGCCCAGGGTTTCGCCAGTTCCATTCGGACATGGCACCGCTTGGTAAGCCATGCTGAGGTGGCATCCCACATGCCACAACTAGAAGGACCCACGACTGAAAACAAACTATGTACCGGGGGGCTTTGGGGAGAAAAAGGAAAAAAAATAAACAAAAAATCTTTAAGAAGAAGAAATGTGCAGTATGGTTTAGGATGTTGGGAATGGGAAAGTAGTGAAAGGGAGGTGTTGAGAGGAACAAGTGAGGAGGAAAACGTTAAAGTAGTTCATAAACGGTAAAAAAATTTTAAACTTTAACCAAATTTTAAATTACCAAGTGATATTGCAATATAAGCTTCTTGTTAGAAAAATCTCAAATACTAATAAAGCTAAAAATATTTCCTTGATCTGCTCCCATTGCAATTCCCCTCCTGGCATGTGTGTCCTTCCATATCTTTGTGTATGTGTTTGGTAATCTTCTATGAATTTGGAAGACTATAAGAATCCTGAGAAAGGAATATTTTTATTTCTCTTTTGACACCTGCTTACTGTTTATAATGGTGAGATCTGTTGCAGGGAGAAAAAAAACCAAATGTGCGCTATAAATGGCATTACATATTTTTGTTTAAAAAGTAAAACAAGGGGTATGAGTGTGTGCAAATTTCTTTTTCTTTTTCTTTTTTAAAGATTTTATTTTTCCGTTTTCTCCCAAAGCCCCCAGGTAGATAGTTGTGTATTTTTAGTTGCGGGTCCTTCTAGTGGCATGTGGGATGCTGCCTCAGCTTGGCTTGATGAGGGCTTGCATGTCCACGCCCAGGATTCGAACGGCGAAACCCTGGGCCGCCAAAGCAGAGTGCATGAACTTAACCACTCAGCCACGGGGCCAGCCCCAAGTGTGTGCAAATTTCATACACACACACACACACACACACACACACATTCCATATCTGTTGTGACCACCCATAAAAAATAAACCTGTATAACTGGGTGATGAATTACTTGTCTGAATTTTAGGATAATGCATTGAAAGAACTGAAGCTCAAAGCCACAATAATTTTTCTTATTTCTCTTATATTCTCATAATTTTCATATGACCTCATTAAACCTCAAGTGCCTGAAGCCATTAGTTCAGATTTAGCATCTTTTTAAAGCTCTAAACATATAAGGCTTTCTGGAGTATGGAGTATGGTTATGTTTTGGGGAAACTGATTGGAACTGTACAGAATCCCAAACAAGGAAATGATAAGCTGCCACAGCTCTCCTCACCTGCTAAATGGTGCTTTTCTTAGCAGAATTAGGAAGTTCTGATGCTTCTGGCCCTGACGTTGCTCTTTGTATAATTTACATTTACTTCCTGGGCACAGTACCGTCTGGATTTTCTCTTCCTTATTTTAAGTTTAGTATTACAGAATGAGCCAGAAGCTGTGAACAATACTGTGTTTTTTCCAAAAGAGGTTCCATGTTCCTTTATACTGTATGTGCCTTGAGAGGTGCTTTGTGTTAGAACGTTTGTGACTTATCATCAACTACAGAAATATTTTTTAAAGTGTGGTCCGTGAGATAATGGTTGGCAACTGCTGTAAAGATGCTTTTATCATTTGAAAAGGACTAATTAACACATACTGTAGGAAAACTTCTTTAAACACAGCCATGTTCTGAAAAGGAAAATGCTGAAGGGGAGGAAATAAAAGAGAGAACGTTTTACAAAACTTGATAAAAGCTCAGTGTGTCTATCCTACTGGAATAATGTAATTAAGGGAAATTAAATGAGTTGGATAAATAACTTTCTTTTAACTTAGCCCCTGGAAAAGGAATACAATTAAGTAGCATAGTTTTTTAAACCAAAATTCTGATGGTCTACATGTACATTTTAATTAACCTAATAATATTTATTGAATGACAAGCCAGGTTGGCAGCTATATCCAGAGTTGATGCCATGTGAGACCTACCTTGAAGGATGGACGAGGCTAGGAGTGGTAACTTCAAATGCCCATGCTAAGGAATCGCTGGAGAGTATGGGAAATTTTGAGCAGAGAACAGAAGGATCTGACATGAACTTTAATTTCTTTTTCGTCAGATGAAAACACATAGAAAGCAAGGACTCAATCTTTAGTTTTTTTGTGTAGCACCAATGCCAATTCTAGCCTGTCAGGGCAAATTCAATACCAATTAATAGCTCTTGATGAGCCAGTCATTCTAGAATTGATTTTTTAATAAGCTGGCCAATAAATGAGAATCGACATACATTTAGGGATTTTTCTTTTAAAGGCAAATGTTAAGGCGGTTTTCACAGACTCCTATATTCCTTAAGCATCTGGTAGGTATGATGGTGGATAATTTAGCTTTAGCAGAGAGAATGTGGCAGCTGATTAAACAAAAAAGCCTGCAGTATGTCTGTCTTAATTAGAGAACTTAAGTTGTCTAAGGAAGTAGAGAGGTCAGAGAAGGCCTAGAGGGGAAAAAGAAGCGTGAGCCCGGTTAGAGCTGATAAAAATTTACTCTCATGATTTGACCAGCTAGCGATGACTGGGCAAGTTCCCAGGATCCTCTGACCCAGATGTTCTAATTTGTAAGTGCAAAATGATTTCTCTATCAGCCTCTTGGGGAAATCTTCAGAGCTGTGAACCTGCTACCTCGAGTAATCTTGTCCTGAGCCCTAGGCTGTTCTCAGATGAAATTTCAGAAAGTGACCACTGGAGCTTCCCAGGTAAGGGCTCCAGAGGCTGCCGAGTGACCAGCAGTAGGGGAATGAGGTTTACCTGCCCCAGTAATCAGCACTCGATTTTTAAAGAGCGGTGGGGTGCCTTTTCTTCCCAAGGTTGCAGTTGATTGCAGTCGGCTCCGGCTGAGTTGTTTGGGAAATAGGAGTTTTGCCCAGCGTGAGTCAGCACTGCCCTGGGTAAACTGCTTGCTCTGTTGCAATCTTGCTTACCAAAGATACGTCCCCAGGCGGCACCATTCACTTTGCCTGAAAGCCGCCGCTGTTGGTTCCTGAGATGATCTCATCTGAGCGTGGCTCCAAGGACCTCAGCAGCAGGAACAGGAGGCAGCTTGCTTTCTGCCGTGGCAATGTTTTGAAACAGGCAAAATCAGGTAACCCCAGACTGTTTTTCTCTTAGTTTTATTAGCTAAACTGAGCTGCAGGAGAAACTGGGAAAATCTCTAGTCTTCAGAAATGAGTCAAATCCTTATCAATTTGGGAATCTTAAAAGTTAGTCCTTCAGCTCTTTGGAGGGGGTCTTGAAGGGAAAAGTTTCATTTCATTTGGGATCTGGATGTGGTTTTATACCTATTTAGACCATTTATTATATAGACCTTAGAGAAGGCAAACACGTTAGGTTTACACTTTATCCATCTTTTGCTCTTATGTTTTCTGTTCTTTTTGTATCTTGTGAGAAGTAGTTTAGTCAAGCTAAACCATTGTTAAAGGAAGAGAGAGAGGCAAACATATGTGCTTATCTACCTAATAACTGTCAGTTTGGAATTGTAGAGAACACTGTCTTATGGGTGAGTTTCCATATTCCTTTCTGAGGTGTTATGAAGAGCCCCTCCTCATCCCTAATTCTGTTCAGGCTGCTGCCCTATTTCCCACCTGCTCTTCACCTCTTACTCTTCTAAATTTTCAGCCTCATCTCTAGGGAGTTGCCCCCCTCAACATTTACTTCTGTTCTTTACAATTACCCCCAAATGGTTCATGTTATCTTTCATCTCAGGCCTTTCCACAAACAAGACTTCTCTGAAATACCCTGCCCCAACTTTCCCTAGCCGCCTGGCTTGAGCCTAGAAGTCACTTCCTTGAGGTCTCTTCTTACTAACTAGGACTGGATGAGTACTCAGGAGAGCCTTGGGTTGACTCCAGTCTGTTTTGTTAGGATTATAGCCATGGTACTTGGCACATAGTAGGTTCTCATGGGTAGAATGAGGAAGAGCCTGTACGGTACTTCCTCAACTCTGATCCTCTTAGCAACTCTGTTATTTTAGCTTCTATCCCCATTACCCTACTCATCTTTTCCTGAAGATCACAAGTAAACCCCTTGTTACCAAAACTGATGTTCTGGTTTCAGCCTCCATCTTATTTAATCTCTGCCTAGCATTTGGCTTGAAGCACTCTTTATTGAACCATTTCTTTTTTCCCAGCAACCCTCTTCATTTGGCTTGGAGGCCACCTTGTCTCCTCTGAGTTTCTGGAGCATCCTTCCTTTATTCCCATTCTCTTTTGACTATCCCATAAATGTTAAGATGCCCCAAGGCATCTCACTCACGAGGTATCTTTTCACTCTTCCCCCACCTCCTTCCTCTAAGGATCTCAAATATGCCATAAATTTAGCTATCCTCAGTATGTCTTACCAGCCGAGCTGTCTCTCCCAAACTTCAGATCCTTGTTTCCGACTTGACAAATCTTGACAAACTTTGTCCAACTCGACAGACCTACCAGGGTGTTCAAAAGGCATCTTAAATTCAATGCATAACAACTCGTTATCTCCCCTACCCATATCTCTTATCTGATTTTATTGCTTTATGTTTGAACTCTGATAATTATGTCCACCAAATCTTCCTGTTCATTCTTTTTATGCCTCACATCCTCTAAATATGCTAAATCTGTGGTTGCTAAACCCTTTTGATTATAGTGGAGTAGTGTTTGATGTATGTCTTTTCTTCATTCCCACTGTATTGCCTTAATTTACCAGAGGTCAAAAACTAGACATTTTGTTTAACCTGCCCAGTGACTTAAAACTTTGTGCGTGAATACTTTAAGGCAGGGCCTGCACTCTTCAAAGATTACAGATACCACCGTTCCCCCAGATCTTACACACTAAAGATGTCACATTTTACTCGCTTTGTCTCCAGGAATTTGAGTTTGTAACTTCTGGTTCAGACCCTTATCAAATCTTGACCTGGCTTTTGCCACTCTACCATAGGTCGTTCTCGGCTCCTATTTCTTCATATTGTTGCTACAGTTACCTTCCTAAAGGCCAGATCTAACCTTTTCATTCTTGGGTTTGCAGAGTGCCATTTGTGCCCTGTTTCCTGCTTAGCTTGATAGGTAAAGTCCTTTACACTTTGACCCCATCCTACCTCTTGCTGTAGCCCGTCTTAGCTCCCGCTCCTTTCTCCAGCGTTTCTCTCCTCTCCAAACTTCACTAAACTCATTTTTTCAGTCCCTGATTAAACCACTTCCTTTTAGGACTCTGTGCCTTTTCCTAGTGGCCTCCCCTTCTCTGCTGGCAAAGTACTCATCTCCTAGGAGGCTTAGTTCATATGTTAAACCTTCCCTGACTTCCTCAAGTAGAGTTATTTTTCCTTATTTGGACTTCCGCAGTCTATCTCTTCCACTAGACCACTGAGTTCCTTGACTGAACCTGGTCCCTGACCTAGAGCCTGGCACCTCCAGACAGTGGCTGAAGTGTGGGTCCCCAGGGTCAATCCACTAGTCCAGATGGCTTTATTAGTCTTGGCAGTATTAGAAAATTCATAAGCTCTCTTGTTAGATGGCATGTTTTTGGTTCCTATTTGATGAACTTGAGCCCGTGGTGCCTATTCTGTATATGTCACCTGAAACCATTGGTAACCATTCAGAGTTAATTTGAAGATTTATAAGGCTTGCTAAAACCTAGTCCCACAATATCACCTAACATTTTTATAGTACTTTACAAAATTATTCTCTTGTGTCATTTTATTTGATACCTGCAATATCTTGTGTTGGGTAGGCTTTATTTTGCCTATTTTACTGGTGATTATAAAGCTACTTCTGACATTGAAGCATACATTCAGGTAAGACTCAGAGGAAAAAAACATGTTTTTACACTGTGTTAAGCAGCTGGTTTGTCTCTTTGTAGTTAAATCTGTCCTATTGGGTTCTATAGAATAGGTGCCTTTGCTCAATACACAAGTGCTAAAGATCTTGCCTTTTACAAGGCTATTTTATCTTCATGGTAGAAGGAGGAGGTACCCAGAGCCTGCCTAACCTTGTGGAAAGGCCTTGACCGTGGTTAGAGACCTTCACTGAAATTAATGGTGTGCCCACTTCAACCTCTGAAGCTTTTCTATTGTGCTTTAAATGTCTAGAATTTGTTAAAACCTACTGCAATAGTGGAGTGTCAACCCAGATTGATGAGTGAAGGGAGTCATCACAAAATGGAGCAAGCTGAGTGTTAAGAGTAGGAAAGGCTTCACAGTAATTCTAGTAAGTGATTAAGTTTGTAGGGTAATTCACAACTTTTGGGGTCCTAACATGCCGTAGTTGGGACTTTGTGGGATTTGATTATAGAAAGGTGAACCATGAGGGCTAGGAAATAATCTCTGTTAGATACTGGCATGTGGCATCCAGTTTTGGTCCTGCCATACTTAAGAGAGGATAAAGATGATTAAAAAATTAAAAAGATAAGTCCTATCATAAGTTTTAAAAAAAAAATGGAAAGATTTTCTCCTGGAGAAGGAAAAGCTAAGAGATGGCTTGATTACTATCTTTGAGTACAAGCATAGTTTTTGCCAGGGGGATTTTGATTAATTGTTTTTCATGTACTTCAAAGATTTAGGAGGAAATGGACTTAAATTGAAGGAGGAGTAATTTTAATGAATATGAGGAACAGTTTCTTGATCATCAAAGTTGGGAAAGATTTGAATGACTGCTAAAAGAGAGTGTTGAATTTCTGACTGTTTCAGTTATCTATTCCTGTGTAAGAAATCACCTTAAAACTTTTAGTGGCTTCAAATGACAAACATTTTATTGTTCATGATTCTGTGGGTTAGTAATTCAGGGAAGAGGGAGATATTGCTTTGCTCCATGTGATATTGATTGGAGTAGAGGATCCAACATGACTTCACACACATCTCTGGGGCCTTAGTGCTAGCTATTGGCTGCAACATCTTGGTTCTCCTCCATGAGGTCCATCTGTCTCTTGGCCTCTCATCATTCATTAATCTAGATTGGGCTCCTTTTACATGATGGTTGGTTTCCAAGGGGCCATAATGGAAGCTACAGGGCCTCTTAAGGGCTAGGCCTGGGAGTCATACTTCATCACATTTACCCCATTCTTTTGGTTAAGGTAAGTCACAAGTGTAGCCCACATCCAAGAAGAGGGGACATGGACTCCACCTCTTGAAGGGTTGAGTGTCAAAGTCGCACTGCAGAAGGGCATGCAGGATGGTTGGGATTATTGCGACCAATTTTGGAAACAATTTGCCATACTGACCTTAGAGATTTTTAGTGAGAGCATAATCAACTCCTGTTTATTGAGTAGGTAGTTTGGGCATTTGATTTACAAACTTGGCTGCATGTCAGAGTCATCTGGGAGCTTTTTACAAGCTTAGACTCCTTAGATACCAGACATGTGACTCAGTATCTCCTGGGGATATTGACACATAAGAGCCCTCTATGTCCTTTCTCTCAGGTAACTATCAATAGAAGGAGGATGGGACGGTGGACGGGAACGAGACAGATCCAGATAGGTGTAACATATAAGGCCAAATGGTAGGCACCTTAAGATCAGCCTGCTGGTCTTCTGCTTCTGGGACTTGGCTGAACCTCTGCCTGGCATGTCCTACCTTCAGTCTGCCTAGTGTAGGTTATATCTCATTCACTCAGCACCTCATCAGAAGAGTGTTTCATGATGCCTCACTTATTTTTTTCTCGTAGTTTCTAGCTCTTTTTCCTTCATAGCATTTATTTTGTTTATAATTAAATAGTTGTATGATTATTTGACAGATGTGTAATAGACAAAAATATGCCTGCTTTGCTTTCCAGTATCTAACATAGTTCCTTCCTTATAAAAGGTATTCAGTAAGTATTTGTTGAATGAATAAGTGGTTGATTGAATGCATGAATGAATGAAGTGATATTTGAATTCAGTTTTAAAGAGTGATGAGAATTTTGGGCAGGTGGAGCAAATGAATGGGAAATTCATAGTTCTGAAGTGGAAAGTGTGGATTACATTGCTCATATAATCTCCGAAAATTGGAGGAACTGGTTTGGGAAAAGAGGAAGGGTTTGGCTTTGAGCATACTTGGTATGCTGAATTTGAGGTCTGGTTATCTAGCAGGCATTTAGAAATGAGGTGCTGAGACTGAAGGGTGAGATTGATTCTCGATATTTAGATTTGGAGTCATCTGACTGAGGACTATGGAATCTATTCATTCAACAAATACTTACTGAGCTTCCACTGTGTGCCAGACAACTGCATTCTAGGGAAGGTGAGCTGAAGTCTGACTGGTAAGGAGCCAGCTGTGGAGAGTGTTCCAGGCAGGAAAGGAGCCACAAGTATGCAGGCCTTGAGGCAGTAAATAATTTATTATTTTTGAGGAGCTGAAGGGGACCACGAAGGACCTAGAGTGAGGTGAATGGGGGTGGGGAGAGGAATAGTGTGAGGTAAAGTAGGAGAGGAAGGCAGGGCCCACATCACTCGGGGCCTTTGTGGGCCATATCGGGAGTCTAGGCTTTGCAGAAAAGCTTGGTGGGAAACCACTGAAGGCTTTAAAGCAGGAGAGTAACAAGCAGAGTGTGTTTTTTTAAAGCACAAGGTTACCCTGACTACTGTCTGGAGAATAGAGAGCGACAAAGATGGGGCCAGTAAGGAGATGTTTGCTCTAGCTCTTGAGAAAGATAATGGCATACAAGGCAGGGTATGGCAGTGACACAGCGAGAACAGGATATATTTAAAAAGTAGAGCCAAAATTCACTAGAGAAGGAAACTTAGAATGGTTAGTACAGAGCCCTAGGGGTGATTTAGGGAACAAAAGGAGGAGCCAGGGAAGGACAGAGAGGAAGACTGATGTTTGAGATCAAAGTGGAGTTAAGCTACTGCACTTTCAGTGGGAGCCGAAAGGGAAGGAGCCTGGGAGAGAGGCTGGAGGAAGGAAGCGGGTAGGCCATGGGGTTATGAGGTTGCAGGGAGGTCATGAAGGTGAGGATTAGACAGAAGCCATGCATTCAGCCATCAGGAGATCATTGGTGACCTTGGAGAAAGGGCCTTTAGTAGAGTGGAGCGGAGCTAAGGAATAAGTGTGTGACACAGAAGTGAAGCAAAGTATCAGCTACTCTGGTGGGGAAGTTGGGAATTGAAGAGAAAGGGAGACGGAGCAGAGAGCTCGCTTTGTGCAGACTTGCACAGAGAAGAGTGTGTGTGGAGGCAGGCTTTTTAAAACTGTAATGGACCAATACTTACTGAGCATCTGCTCTATGCCAGTCACTGTACTAGGAGCTGTAACAAGTCTATTATATTTATCTTTGTCTTTAAACAGTTGGCCTAATAGAGTAGTGACCTCCAAAATGAATTTCCAAATTCTAGGGGCATATGAATCCTTCTTTTGGGGTATGGGAAGGAAATATTAGAAAAGTTTTTCTATGTTTTTAACTTACCCTTTGAAATTTCTTTTAGATAGTGTTATGTTTTAGATAGAACATAGTATATTTGTGTAGTAGTACTTGTCTAATTTGCTGTTAAATATAGATGTAGATTGCTAAATTTTTTTTTTTACTTATCAAAAATGGTAGACTTACTGGTCTAGTGAATAAAGGGGAGTTTTTGAAACGGAGAGAAAAGAAGAAGCACAGAGAAGGATGGGAAATCAACATGCCAAGTAGTCTGCACATTGTTTTAAATCTCTTAAGAACTCCTTGAAGTTATTTTCCCCATTTTACAGACAAGAAACTGAAGACTGAAGAATTTAACTTACCTGAGGTTACACAGCTGGTTAAGTGGTAGAACTGGAATTTGAAACCAGGTCTGTTTTAATTGAAAGCCTTATCACCTCACTTATTCTTCCCCCTCTTCATCTGCTTAATACTTTTTCATATTTTTGCATTTAATTCTCACAGTGATTCTATAAGGAACGTATTAATATACCCGTTTTGCAGTTGAGGGATCTGCGGCACAGATGAAACGTTAGTGCCTGGTCACATACCTAGTGTGTGGCACCAGCTGGACTCCTGCTTCCAGTGTTCTTTCCACTGTGCCACCATTGCCTCCCAGAATAGGTGGACAGAACTCAGTTGAATTGTTTCGGTGAAGTAGGTGAGGAGGTTTTGGTTATCCAACGAAGAAGGAGTAGAAGAGAGAATGGGGGTTGGAAGATGACTTAGACAAACTCGAAGACAGTGTTAGTTCCTGTTTTTTGAACACTGTGGTGTTAAGGGTTTGCATTAATTATCTCATTAGTTCCCATTTTTTGAACTCTGTGGTGCTAAGGGTTTGCATTAATTACCTCATTTAGATACTCCATTTTACAGATGTGGAAAATGAAGTTTAGGGAAATTCAGCACCTTGACTGAGGTCACACAGGAAGACGATGAGTTGCGTCTGACTCCAGGCCCCGTATCTTAAACCCTGCACAACACTGCTCTTTGGAGTCACAGTGGAGACATCAACTAGATATGAATAAAAGATTTCCCAGCCCAGTGTTGGCTTGATCTCAGTCGTGTGAATTTGTTGGGAACCCAGTGAATAAAAGTCTTCTGACTTTTCTTTAATACTTGGTAGCTCAGATGTGGAGAGGTTGGGGAGCGGAGAAGAGAGGGGAGGAAAAGTGCAGAATAAGAGTTCAATAAATCAGAAGAGGGCTTCAGGGTGCAGGAATGGCAGATTGCAATGGATTGTGCTGTTAAAAAAAGTTGTGTTTGAAATTCATTCTTACAGTAAATATCATGCTTCTGTGTGATGCAAGGTATGCTGGGATATGGAGGAAAGAATGCAAAGATGGATAAGATGGGATCTTTGACCTCTAGAAGGTTAGAGAGGAAGATATAGTGCTTCATCATAGTGCATAATTGAAGGGTATGTGAGAGATGAAGGTGGAGGACAAGTATGAGAAAGTGTTATCCAAATTGGCTTGTAGATTGAGGGTAGCATTAGGTAGGGCTGGACTGGTGGGTGACATCTAGCTTCTCAGGAAGACCCCTCAGGGTTTAGGTCACTATGATTTAGGTCTGGTTCTCAGGTAACAAAATGTATTTTGTTTTGTAGCTGGAAAAGATCATTCTTATGGAGACAGGATTTTATTCAGACTTGAGTGACTGTGCTCAGAATGGAATGCCAATTTATTATTTGAGTGAAGGATGATTCCTTTTTGGTTAACAGGATTCTGGATTTTGCTAGGATATTGCTTTTCAATACCAAGAAAACTGAGAAATGAAATTTAATAATATCGTGCTTGCTTGGTGAGCATGGAATAATATGATAGCATACTTTGTGGGGGAGAATACAGTTACCAAAAAGCTAAGATTATTGATTGCTTACTATATGCTAGGTTTTATACTAAGTGCTTTGCATACAGTAGGACATTCAGTTCTCCCAATGGTCCTCCTGCAAAGTAGGCACAATTATCCTCAATTTACAAATGAGGAAACCAAGGCTCTTTCCAGGCTAGTAAGAGCCTGAACTGAGATTGGAACCAAGTCCCTCTGACTCTAAGACCCCAGACCCCAGCTGCTATTATATGCTGTTTCCTTTAAGCTTCATAAAAGAGCCTTGTCCTCCTGCAGAAAAGATGGTGTATCACCTGGTTCCAATATTTCTCTGCCTTGAGTGATTCTGGAATCAAAATGGCTCCCTCTATTTTTCTAGATTTTTCTAAGTCTCTTTGTTGACCATACTTGGATGTGGTCACATTCTTTGTTTAAATATATTAATGCCATCATCCAAGCCTTTCCGTCCTCCTTTCTTCTTACTTTGGTTTGGAAGACATCGTATCTCTTTGGAGGGACTTTTCATATCTCTGCACCCATTGATTTTGTGTTGATTTCATTATCTTAATTTTATGGGTTAAGTTATGAGATTTCTCCTGACTAGTCAACCCCCCCCCCTTCCTTCTCCACTGCATTTAAATTCAAATTCTGAGTCTGATTTTGGAATACTCAGTCTGGCTCCAATCCAGCTATCCAGTCTAGCCATGGCTCTCTGGATTGCTAGTTATTATTATTACCATCCCTCCCTTATGACTCAATCAAATCCAGTTACTCACTGTACCTATATGTCCTTGATTTCCTGGTAGGGTGTCCTTCTTTCTGTTGTGTTTTCAGCTTGGAATGTCATTCTTCTATGAAGCCTCCTTGTCTGATCCCTCACTGGGAGTAATCTCTTCCTCCTCTGGGTCTCATAGTAGAGGATTCTCTTTTATGTCTTCTTTATGGCACAATACACTTTCTGCCATATATTTCAATTGTTAGTGTACATGCCTTTCTGTCTCCTACTAGACCAAAACCTCACTGAGCGTGTCTGATTGACCTTTGTATCTCCTCTAATATTGTGTTCAGTTCCCTGCACATAGTGGGCATCTGATATCTGTGGGATGAATGAATGAATGGATGAGCAGGATTTCGGATTTAAGTTTCTGCTCATTGGTTTAGATTTTCCCCCCTTCTTTGCTTTTATTTTTCCTTTCCCATTTCCTTTTCTTTTCTGTTAAACTTGCTGTGTTTTCCCTTGCACTGACTCACCAAACTTGTCTTCACCACTCCCTTTTCTTACCCAGATTTTGCCTCATTCTTTCCCCATTAGCAGTCACTGTGTGGGAGTGCCACATGCTGCTGGTCAGATTTTCTCCATCCTTTTGTGGCTCTAGTCTCTCCAGGAATCATATGACCAGCATGGGAACCGAGTGGTGATTACATTGAAATCTTAATAAAAAGACCATGTGTAAAGAACGGTCCTTAAGGTTTGTTAGTATATTGCTTTCAAGTGGAAAACTTTCTGATTGACATTTCAAGGGAAAGGGAAAAAAATCCTTGGGTACTTGAGAGGTAAACCAAGGTGTATATTCACCCTTTGGACTCTGGGATGTTAGAGGCATCTTATTTGACCAAAGAAATGATGCAGGAAGCCACAGAAGCTTCTCCTCTTAGTACTGAGTCTCCGAATTTTTTCAGCAGCTGGAATAAACATTAGAGATTACACTAGTCCAACCCTCCTGTTTTCCAGATGAGAAAACAGACCCAAAGAAGCTAAATGACATGTCCGTAAAAACTGGCGTATTCCGGTGCCGGCCCCATGGCCGAGTGGTTAAGTTTGAGCACTCCGCTTCAGCGGCCGAGGCTTGTGTTGGTTTGGATCCTGGGTGTGGACATGGCACTGCTCATCAAGCCATGCTGAGGCGGTGTCCCACATGCCACAACTAGAAGGACCCACAACTAAAATACACAACTATGTACTGGGGGGCTTTGGGGAGAAAAAGGAAAAGTAAAATCTTTTTTTTTTTTTTTTTTTTTTGAGGAAGATTAGCCCTGAGCTAACTGCTGCCAATCCTCCTCTTTTTTCTGAGGAAGCCTGGCCTTGAGCTAACATCCATGTCCATCTTCCTCTACTTTATACGTGGGATGCCTGCCACAGCGTGGCTTGGCAAGTGGTGCCATGTCCGTACTCGGGATCTGAACCAGCGAACCCCAGGCTGCTGAAGCAGAACGTGCATACTTAACTGCTGCGCCACAGGGCCGGCCCCGAAAAATAAAATCTTTAAAAAAAAACAAAACAAAACTGGGATCTTCATTGCCCACCATTTGCTCCCAACACTGAATGCGGCTTGGGGGAACCACTGGCTCTTTGAAAGCAATGGAAGTTTCACTTGGAGGCTTCAGGTCTCTGAAACGGAAGCCTTTTGGCTGGCCCTGTAGCATAGTGGTTAAGTTAGCGCGCTGTGCTTTGGCGGCCCAGGGTTTGCTGGTTTGTATCCTGGGTGCGGACCTTTGCCTGGCTTATCAAGGCACTCTGGCAGGTGTCCTACGTATAAAATAGAGGAAGATGGGCACGGATGTTAGCTCAGGGCCAGTCCTCCTCAGCAGATGTTAGCTCAGGGCTAATCTTCCTCAAAAAAAAATAAAATAAAATAAAACTGAAGGCTTTTGCAGTGCTGAACAGTAGGCTCCGATTGGCCTGGGGGCAGTGTTCACCGGAAGGGCCCTTTTAATTGTCACGATCTCTTGGGGTGGTTCCCTTTTGGGAATGTGCTCAGTGGGGACTGGCTGACAGAAAGCTGTGTCTTCTACATTTGAAAAGAGGCCAACGTTCAATAATAAAAACATTTCCAATTTTTCTTGTCCTTTTTCCCAGCCCTCATACTCCAAGATTTGGTTCAGGCTTAATTTTCTTATCTCAGCACGATTTGTGTTAAGTTTTTATTGTTTCCTTTAGGTCAGATGTCGGTATGAAGCGTGGGAAGTCCAGAAAATATCTTCGAGGCTCATGATGGTTTTTGTGCTTTTCAGGTGAATCTTTTGCTCAACTCATAGAATAATGTATTTTACTGTCATTGACATACTGTCGAGTGAACCACTTGTCGGCAGATATGAGAGGTTACCTATTTGGAGTAGGGAGCTGCCGTGTAAGGAGATCAGACAGCCCAGAACAGGAAGTCAAGTGCAAACAGGATGTGCTTGTCTTCACTGTGACTTGTGTGTTGAAACTTGGTATGGTTAAAAAGTCAAGACTTCTGATATTTGAGCTTGGCTGAAGAAGTCTCTCTTTCTGGTTTGGGAAGGAGCTAAGGTAACTAGTCCTTTACTGCCCTTGCCTTTGAACAGGTGCATGTCTTCTACGGGTCAGGTCATTCTTCCTGGTGCATGGTGGTTCTTCCTGGCTTGCACCATACTGCATCCTTAGGTTTTATAAAATGAAACCGCTGAATTGACTGCCGATCTGGTACTTTTGGTAGATGTAGGATTCAAGCTGTGCTTAGCTATTTATTTATTTATTTATGTTTTTGAGGAAGATTAGCCCTGAGCTAACATCTGCTGCCAATCCTCCTCTTTTTGCTGAGGAAGACTGGCCCTGAGCTAACATCTGTGCCCATCTTCCTCTACTTTATATGTGGGACACCTACCACAGCATGGCTTGTGAAGTGGTGTCATGTCCGCATCTGGGATCCAAACTGGTGAACCCCGGGCTGCCAAAGCGGAATGTGTGCACTTAACTGCTGCACCACCGGGGCTGGCCCCGGCTATTTATTTATTTATTAATTTAATTTTTTTTTTTTGAGGAAGATTAGCCCTGAGCTAACTGCTGCCAATCCTCCTCTTTTTTCTGAGGAAGCCTGACCCTGAGCTAACATCTGTGCCCATCTTCCTCTATTTTATACGTGGGATGCCTACCACAGTATGGCCTGCCAAGCGGTGCCATGGCCGCATGCGGGATCCCAACTGGCAAACCCCAGGCCCCCAAAGCGGAGTGTGCGCACTTAACCACTGAGCCACCGGGCCGGCCCCTATTTATTTTTTAATAACAATGGGAAATCTTAGCCTATAATTCACCAGCCTTTTACATTATGGATTCCTTTTGTAGGACTCTAGGATTTCTAGCACATCTTTTTCTTTGGTGAGGAAAATTGGCCCTGAGTTCACATCTGTTGCTAGTCTTCCTCTTTTTGCTTGAGGAAGATTGTTGCTGAGCTAACATCCCTTCCAGTCTTCCTCTATTTTTTGTATGTGGGATGCCACCACAGCATGGCTTGATGAGCCGTGTATAGGTCCATGCCTGGGATCCGAACCTGTGAACCTGGGGCTGCTGAAGTGGAGTGTGCTAACTTAACCACTACGCCCCTGGGCTGGCCCGTCTAGCACACCTTTTGAGTGTTTCCTGAGTGTGGTAGTTTACAAATTACCCTGCGGCCTTTTTAGTCTTTGAATTGAAAATTTCCCTGCGTGTTGGAGGCTGGATCTGATGCTAACTGCTGAACTGATTTACTCCTAGGCAGGTCTCTGGAGAAGAGATTGAAGAAGTGATTTGCTGGGCTCGGTCACTCAGCTGATAAACAGTCATAGGCACTCCTGTTTTCTGAACCTCCCTCCCATTCCTCGTCGCTTCCCACTGTGAAGTCTGCTGTATCTCGTGTTCACTGGGGGCTGGCTTGGCTGTAGAGTAACTATAGGCAAGTGATCTTGGGATCTTGGTGGCTTATTATAACCGCTTGAGTTATTTCAGATTAGGTCTGTTCTGATGGTGTCAAACCATAATATGGGGCAGGTAAAGCTCTGGGGAATGTTTTTTGTGCATTCTGTATCCCTACTATGTTGCAAAGAAGACTGTCCTTCCACTTTGTAATTCTGGGAGCAAATGGGTGAAGTAGCAGCACATCTCAACATCGATGAGAACAGCATTACTTCCTGATGCCAGCACAGGTGTCTTTTTTCTCGAATCTATCAAGGAGTCATGAATATGAGCCAGTTTGCACTTTGTTGTGGGATGTAGGCAAAGAGTAAAACCTGAGACCAGGTTAAGCGCAGGTATTTTCACAAGGAGAGAATACGCAAGAATACAAAGGTTTTTTTTGTGGTACTAGGCGAACTAGAAATCTCCCTTTTTGCTCCTTGGGATAGATACTGGGCATATCACTTCCTGGCAGGAGCAGAAAACATTTCAGAAAGTCAGCATAATTTTCAGATTGAGATCAAACATCAAACCCAGCCCAAGAAGGGGGTGGTTAGTCTGAATTCATCCTGGGTTTATCACAAAATCCTATCTGACTTTAGTGCAGTGCAAGCAGTTGTGGAGCACCAGGTGGGGGCCGGGTGTATGTGTGTTCGGTTCTTCTCAGAATTTGGTGGACAAGAGAGATTGAGGAGCTAAGGGAGAAAGTCTAAACTGGCTGGGCTGTGGGAAAAGAGACAAACTCATTAGCAATTGGATAGAATTAGGAAGAAATGTAACAGGCTGGGGCTGCACGGAGGATAAACCACCTCTGAGCTGTTCTGGGGTTATAAAATTAAGAGCTGGTGGGAGGAGCCTGGAGTCCTGTAGTTCTTCGAGGATGATTGGAAAACTAGATGGAGCCTGATTAAAGGTATCAGCATGTCTTTAAAAACAAAAAGTAGGATAGGGGATAGAGCAGAAAAATTTTGTCACTTTTTCTTTTTTCTTTTTTTTAAAGAATTTATTTTTCCTCCTTCTCCCCAAAGCCCCGTGGTACATAGTTGTATATTTTGGTTATGAGTGCTCTAGTTGTGGCATGTGGGATGCCGCCTCAGCATGGCTTGATGAGTAGTGCCAGGTCGGCGCCCAGTATCCGAAACCGGTGAAACCCTGGGCTGCGGAAGCGGAGCACACAAACTTAACCACTCGGCCACAGGGCCAGCCCCTATAGCCAACTCTTATTGAGCATCTGTTCTTTGCTAGGCTCTGGAGTAAATGATTCACATGCATTATTTTAAACCTTTCAGTTACCCTTTCATTGCAGCAGCTTCTCTTGGTTTTGAGGAAATTAAGGTTTAAAGGGATTAGATAACCCAGAATCTAGCGTCCACATTCATCCCACACCGCACTACATTTGCTACAGTAACTTTCATGCAGTCCACTTTGGAAAGGTAAAGTGCATGATTGTAATTTTGATCCTAGGCAGAATTCCTGTCCTGAAGGGCTGCCTTTTCCCAGGGCCCAGGAGTGCCAGAAACCCTCTCTCCTTGTCCCTGGCTTCGTGAACATTTTTACCCATTAGTCGGACACTGTGATAATATCTCCTGAAAGCAGCTTCTTCAGTCAGAGGGTCTGCAAGAGCTTATGTGGTAAATCCTGTTTCCTGCACAAGAGTATGAGGGGGATCAGAGTCTCTTTATTCTTGATGAGCTTTGTCATCGGTTTTGGTGGAAGAAGGATCCTGTGATAATTAATTAAACTACAGGTCCATTTATTATTTTCAGCCTGGTTACAAGACTTTCCTCTGAACTGCTTTCTTTCCTGATTGACTCCCCTTCGGGGCAGAATGCCTGGGCTGAAATTAAATGTGTAGGCTTCTCTGCTGCAGTCTTCAATCTGTCATCTCTCCTAACTGCCACGCTAAGAAGCAGCCGTTTGATTGGTCAGCCCCCGAGGGTGAGATTTTGGCACCGCTCCATTGGTTAGAATGAGTTTTCCCTGAACTTCACAGCAGATGCTCAGGTCCCTCTGCACATATTTGTCATAGACTAGTTGAAACCAGGCAGTTTCCAAGAACATTTATGACTTGTGATTATTATGTATGTTTTTAAGTTGTTTACAGCAGTTACCACTTCAGGAAAAGAGCCGATTTATTACTAGGGGAAAAGTGAAATCTCTCTCCTTTCCCCCTTTTTCATATTATCATTCTAACACTTTATGCTGCAGGACCCTCTGCCGTTCTGTTTCTTGCATCTTTTTGTCGTGCTTCTGCCTACACCTTGCCTCGCTGTGTGTGTGAGTAGCAACAGGCAAAGCTCTGCTTAGACCTGGGCGTGCTGGTCGAGGTCTGTCTCTGATTGCTAGCATTTCTTTTCTCTATTTTACTTCTCCATTTGTTGTTTTCATTTTTATTTGTATTCTTGGAAGTTCTCATCGCAGCACCATTCCAAACCAAAGCCCCCAGGAGGGCATTGAAGCCCTCTGTGCCTTGTGACACAGTGGGGGATGGAAGTGTTCATCTTCTTCCTCCTCAGGGCTCTCCCTTTCTGTTTTTCTAATGCTATCATCACTGACAATTGTAATATTTTTCTGTTTCTTTTAGAAGGTCTGTCTGTTGCCCTTCTTTTCTTGTTTTTCAAGTAATTTTAGCAGACACTTAGGTTATCTTCAGCATGTGTAAGGTAGCGGTGGGACTATTACTATTAGGCCTTTCCTTAAAGGTATTGCTGTGGTTATATGGTTTTAAAACTCTTAATTTGCTGATCACTCTGGAATTACAGTTGTGGAGTTTTTAAGCATGAATTTCTGTCCCCTTTTTCTTTTAAAGCTCTAATGCTGTTATCATAAGTAATATTTCAACAAATACCCAGTGATCACCTTTACCTGGCACTAAGTCTGGGAGTAAAGCTGTAAAGTAGACTTGCTCTTACTTCCTGTTTCACTTTTCACATCCTAACCACAGGAGAAGAAAACTTGAAACAGAATGATTTGGTTTTGGCCAGTTGGGTAAGTACAGTGCTGCTCTAGTGCTCATCCTCTCGGAAGGTAATCGCCACGCGTGAGGGACCTTGCCTGGTTCTGTTCCTCTTGGAACCCCAGCGAATGGGAGAGGGCTTGGCGGAAAGGAGTGCTAAATAGGTAATCAGATGAATGAATTAAAGTGTCGGGAGGTGTACAAGATGCTGTGGGAGCAGAGACAGGGTCAGAGAGGGTTTCCCTGAGGAAATACATGCCACGTGAGACAGACAGAGTGGGAACAGTGGTCGAAGCTGAGAGAATAGCTTGAGGGAGGTTCCTAGAGCCAGAGAAGCCTGGCGTTTGAGGGACCGAAAGAATAGGAGGATAGCTGGAGCTGAGGTTGAGGAACGAGCTCCAAGGATTTACTTTCATTTTCTTTAATGGTTACCAGTGAGAACGCTTATTAAAAGGAAGGTAATAGAGCATTAGTTGTAGTTGAGACTGTTAAGTCAAAACCCTCCCTCAGCTGGAGCAAAGGTGGGCAAGAATAGAAACTGAAACACATCTTATATGCCAGGTTTGGGCTTTATCTTTAGAAAGTTGCACGTGTATCTGTAGCACTAGGGCCCCGAAGTCCTAGTCAGTAGGAAATGCAGATGACTTACTGGATGTATAAATTAAACTTCTGGATTCCCAGGGAGGGGTTTCTGTTACATCTTTTACAAGGTCCTCAAGTGTTGCAAGGTTGGCTTGGCAGGTAGGTGTCCCTTTCTGGTGTCCCTAGAAGGGAGTAGAAGCTAGTATTAAATACTTCCTCCCTGCTGGCTACTTTGGGTGATATCCGTTGTCTTCTCCCACAGTCAGTCTGGTAACTGCTCTTCCAGTACACAGGCTCTTGAATGACTAGTGCTGAGGGTCAGGAGTGTGGGTGGTGAAAAAAGTGTAGGATCACAATTAGTCAGAGAACTTGGGCTTAGATCCTGACACGCTCCAGCTGTGTGACCCTGGGCCAGTTACCCAGTCCTCAGGGCCCAGCCTCCTCAGTACAAAATGAACATTTTCATTCTGAATTTTGCAGCGTTACTGTATTAAATGAGACAGTGGATGCAAATGTAACAACTCACCTGGCACATGTTAGGTGTTTTGTAGAGTTTTTACTTTTTCCTTAAAAAATAAAATTTCCTAGGATCATCTGAGAAGGGACTTCAGGACCCCGACTCTGAATAACTCCCCCAGTTTTCCCCTTGTCTGCCACCTGAAATAACAGCCAGGAGATTCTCTCTCTCACCTCAGGCTTTGATCGTTATATTAGAGTGTAATCGGGAACCGGAGGAGAGAGGAGACAGAGCCCTGGTGTTGTTGCTGTCTTTGCCATCTCAGCGTGAACAGGTTCTCTGAGGCTTGTTTGGAGAGAGGCAAACATGGACTCCTCCTCAGTCCCGTGCTGTATTACAATGCCTACCATTTACCGCATGTCTAGTACTGCCTTCTGCTCTGTAAGTAAGGTTGAAAGCCCAGTGAAGCTGTGCTGCCTCGTTATGCTGGGCACCTACTCTGTATCCAGCCTGTGAGGTGTAGGAAAGTTTATTTCTGTTATGCTGAAGCTCAGAAAGGCAGCTTTCTCAAGCTCATCCCGGTACTCAGTGTTAGAGCCAGGATTTAAGGTCGAGTCAGACTCAGTCTAAAACTTATTTGGGAACTTTCCTTTTTTTGCTGTTCCATTTTCTAAAAATTTAGGCCTAAAATAAAATTCTTCTTTAGGAAATAGACATTATCCATTACCCACATCAAAAGGACTACCTTGGAGGATAGAAAATGTCTGCTGGGTTTTAAAGCATTTGGAAATGTCATTTTCCTCACTGTGTCCCGGCCTTGTGGACTGTACCTTGTTACGTCTGGCTGGTACACCACTTCAGGAGGGGTGTTGATCTGATTCAGGCTTTGGGTTCCAAAGTTCCATGATATACTTGTCTCCTCTGTGACTTGGGTGTTCTGAATTCTCTATTCTGAAATGAGTATCTCAGAAATAATCTCAGTATCACAGAGAACATGCCTCATTGTCCCACACACAGGAAGTGAGACCAGTCTGTGCTGTGTTCACTCTGCTTACTTACAAATGCAGCAGTTGCCCTATTTTATGCTATTGTGTTGTCACCAGCATTTTAAATCTTCCCCTTCTGAGGTGGCCACCTCCGGCAGGTTTACTGGAAAATTCCAGTTGTGACTCTGAGGTTATGTTTTAAATTAAACAGTTTCAAGGGAGTTCAAGTTTCTTTTCAGACTAACTTGTTTTTTAAAAGTAAGCAGCCTTCAACGTTTCGAGATGATTTTAAATTTCAGGTGAGTTCTCAAGATAGCGATTGGTTCTTCATTGTGTGGGTGATGTGATCAGCTGTGCCAGAGGTGCCACCCCACCCAGTCCTTTGGGTGGTAGGAACTGGAGCTTTGGGTGACCAGAGAGAGAGAGATGCTGGACTTTCCAGCCAGTAGGCGCAATTGAACATCTAGGCTGTTGCTGCTTTAGAATTGCAATTAGAGTTAGATGACCGTTTATTTTAATATGCTGTTTATGGAGCACTTACTCTAGGTTAGGCGCTGTGTGTTACTTCTCATCCCTAGCTACCTTCCAACAGGGGAGCTGTTATCCCCCTTGCAGAGGTGAGGAGACAGACTCAAAAGGCCTAAGGAACCTGTGCAAGGTTAGCCACCCTTTGTTTTTGATAAAGGGCTTTTTCTTTTTCATAGTCGCTTATGTCACTATAAATATTGATAAAATGCTTTGGGCCCTAAGGAGAGAGAACTAGGACTTGACTCATTGGCTGTATTGATAAAAAGCTGACTGTTCCTCTGACCTCCGTTTGCTCATTCCACGAATTATTTGGGTGCCTACTATGCAGTGGCTCTGTGCTAGGTGATGCAGATTAAAAAGCAGAGACAGGTGAGGCCCCTGCCCTTGGAGTTTACAGTCTGTGGGTGGATAGACTGCAGATAAACAAACACACACAGTTCCAGATTATGATACTTCTCATGAAGGAAACTCAAAGGGCAATGAGAGAGTGTATGTCGCTGTGGAGGACTCCTCCAAAGAGGAGATCTTTGAGCTGAGACCTGAGGATGAGAAGGAGCAGGAGTGGCAAGGGAGCGTGAGTGCAGAGAGCCTCAGGCAGGAGGGGGCTTGGTGTGCTGGAGAGCCCGGAGTGCACCACGGCTTGACTCCTAGTGAGTGGTGGGGAAAGCAGCACGGTGTGAATTGGAGATGTGGGCAGGGGCTGGTGGCGCGCGCAGGGTCTTCTCACCATGTAAGGAGTTGGAAGTTTTGTTGTGAAATGTGATGGGAATCGATTAAAGAGCTCTGAATGTGTGTACTGTGGGAGGAGGGCAGTGGATAATGCCTTAGGGAGATAGAATTGGAGAGAGGCAAGAACTGAAGTCGGGAAACTAGTTAGAAGGCTGTTCTTTCATCCAAGAAGCCATTCTAGGCTCTGGAAATACAGTAGAGCACAAAGTCCCTGCCCTCATCAATTTTTTATTCTCGTTAGGGAAGACAGTTAACAAGTAAGCAAATAATACTAGCTAGTACTAAGTGTTACGCATGAGATTAGAAAGTGACATTTAAACTGAAGGGTGAATGGCAAGAGGGAGCCAAGCATGTGATGTTCTGGGGAGAAGAGTCCAGGCAGAAGGAACAAACAGCAAATTCAAAGCACTTAAGGAGGAAAATGTGAGTAATAACCGAGAGATGGTGATTGAGACCGCTGTCCGGGCAGGGGAGATGGAGATAGGAATTTATGAATCTTCAGCTTAGGAATGGCATTTAAAGCCACCTGACTGGGGTTTCCTCGGGAGAGAGAGTGTGGCTGGAGAGGGCACCAAAGACAGCCTAGGTGCTCCCGACATTTAAGAACAGAGGGAGGGTAAGAACCCGCAGCAGCGCTTTGAGGTAGGAGGAAAACCAAGGCTGCAGAGTTCTGGAAGCTAAGAAATGCTTAGAGGGGAGAGTGTTTCAAGGAGAAGGAATGGTCACTTGTGTCCAGCACCGCTGGGAGGTTGAGTAAGAAGAAGATGGAGAAGTGTCACTTGGCCTTGGCCCTTGGAACTCCCTGGTGACCTTGGAAAGAAGAGATTAGGTGGAGTGGTTGGTCAGGCTAGTCTGGAGAAGGTAGAAGAGTGAATTAGAGGTTGAGCAAGTGCAGTCAAATATTTGGAGAGGTTTTGGTGTAGGGCAGAGCAGAGAAAAGGACCTTCACTGAGGAGTCGGGGACATGGGGTCAAAATGGGGTTTTTTGGTTATTACTTTTTACAAATTACAAATTTTCTACTAGGTGCTTTTAAAATCTCTCATAAATTTTTAAGTGAAATATAACTAGAGAAGTACACAAATTGTAGTGTCCGCTTTGATGAATTTTCACAAAGTAAACAGCTGTATAACCAGCACTCAGATTAAGAGACAGACATTATCAGAAACCCCCTTGTGCCCCCTTCCATTTACTATCCTACCCTCAGAGGATAAACATGATCCTGATTTCTAACACCGTAGATTAGTTTGCCCATGTTTGAATTTATTTCTTTTCTTTTTTTTTGCCGAGGAAGATTAGCCCTGAGCTAACATCTGTTGCCAGTCTTCCTCCTTTTTTGCTTGAGGAAGCTTACCCCTGAGCTAACATCTGTGGGTCACCACTACAGCATGGCTGTCGAGTGATGTAGGTCTGCACCCAGGATCTGAACCCATGAACCCAAGCCTGCCAAAGCGAGGCTTGCTGAACTTAACCACTACAACCATGGGGCTCTTGTATTTGAATTTTATGTAAATGGAATCATTTTAGTGCATAGTCATTTGTGCCTGTCTTCTTTCACTCAACATTATATTTATAAAATTCATCTGTACTGTTGCATATATCAGTATTTTGTTTATTCTCGTTGCTGTATGAATGTATCATAATTTATTTCTCCATTCTACTGCCGATGGGTATTTGGATTTTTTCCAGCTTGGGGATATTACAGTAGTACTGCTCTGACATTCTTTTTTTTTTTTTTTAAAGATTTTATTTTTCCGTTTTATCCCCAAAGTCCCCAGTACATAGTTCTATGTTTTTAGTTGTGGGTCTTTCTAGTTGCGGCATGTGGGACGCCGCCTCAGCATGGCCTGATGAGTGGTGCCATGTCTGCGCCCAGGATCTGAACTGGTGAAACCCTGGGCGGCCGAAGTGGAGTGCACGAATTTAACCACTTGGCCACGGGGCTGGCCCTTGACATTCTTGTATACTTATTTTGGTAAATGTGTTTCTGTTGGGTATGTACTTGAATGTGGAATTGCAAAGCCATGGTGTGTGTGTGTGTGTGTGTGTGTGTGTTTCCAAAGGTTGTACCAGTTTGCACTTCTGCCAGCATTGTTAGAGTTCCAGTTGCTCTCTATCTTTGTGAGTACTTGTTAGCATCTGTCTTTTGCATTTTACCCACTTCAGTGGGTGTTTGGTGGTAACACTTCGTGGTTGTAATTTGTACTTCCCTTATGATGAGGAAGAGTTTTAAATGTGGGAGATCCTGGAGCGTGCCTGTGTGTGGATGGGAAAGCTGTAGTAGAGATGGAAAGCAAAAGCTCAGAGGGAATGGGCTGCAGGGTAGACAGACCGATTTGGTTTTGGTGGAATCAGAACACTTTTCTTGTAGCCTACTGTCTTCTTTACTTCTCGAAACATGTAATTCCTTATCAGTTATTTCAAAGAGGCATAGCTAAGTCATATTGATAGGCTTCTCATAGCATTTCCTTTCAAAGCCACTGTAATTGTACTTTAATTCCTTTTTAAGGATAATATACAAGATGAAGCAAAGCCCATTCTGTATTAATGATCCATAATGTGGGATACTTTCCTTTGGGCACTTACAGCATAGACGCTTTCAGCAATTCCAGGAATACGGTAGTGACAGTAGGCAAGCCGCCCTCAATAAACTGGAGGCTATTCTATGAGGCTTGCCACCTAGCCATTTTCTGATTTGCTGTGTCACAAAGGTACTTCTTTGAGGATTGGAGGCATTTTAATTAGGTAATTTTAAAGGATTTTTGTGAAGTCTTATACAGTGGTTTCACTGTAAGTATGTTAGAATTCCAAGATGTTGCTGTTCATGCATCTGTGTAAGGCCTGTTGTTGCAAAAGTACCTTGGCACACCGAGCAGTTAATTAAAATCAGGATTGGATGAGAACCTTGGGGATTGGACTTTACTGTCCTAGATTTTGGTGGTTAGCAAGGTGGTTTTGGCGTTGCATTGCAAACTAGCAGTGGTGGTTTTACTAGAACACTGACATTCTGACCCTTCTACTCCATGGGTCCATTCTGTCCCCTCTTTCCTCCATGGGAAAATCCATGACAACCACTGATCCACTTAAGATTATTTGCCTTGGGCAGGTGAACAAGTGGAGAAGTGATTGTTTTAAAATTACTTAGGATTCTAGGACTTACTAGGGAGAAATCACATTATCTCCCCTCTTGCCTCTAACTGTGGGTGTAGTCAGCCTACCTGGGATAGGTCATTTATCTTTCCCTGTTATTCACACTGTAATTTTCCTGTTCACTAGGACTCAGTCTCCCAAGAAATACCAGCATACTTATCAAGCTGACAAAATCCCATGTGCTGGCTAGCCATTCTTGCCTCATACCACAGGGTTCTTCCACAGGGAATAGTACATTTTCCTGTTTACCCCAGCCCTACATCTCCCATCTTTCTCTCCTTTAGGCAAAGTGCAAGAGGGGAGCCTGGCAGGTTTCTAACAAACTCAGTAGGAGGTCAGTCAGAGACTGTATTTGAGGATTAAATCACTGAATCCGTCTTTTCTGATGAGGGTGAGGGGGATTGGAGAAGGAATTTTCAAGCCCTCAGTGAAGATTTGATAATCATTTTCTTTCAAGATCAGAAGGAGGTTTGCAGATCACAGAGGGAAGTTTTTCAAAGTGGTCAACATTCTTTTTTTTTTTTAATTGATATTTATTGATTTATTTATCTTCTCTTCAAAGCCCCAGTACATAGTTGTATATCCTTGTTATAAGTCCTTCTAGCTCTTTTATGTGGATGCCGCCACAGCATGGCTTGATGAGCAGTGTGTAGGTCCACACCCGGGATCCGAACCGGTGAACCCCAGACCACAGAAGCAGAGTGCACGAACTTAACCACTACGCCACCAGGCTGGCCCCTGGAGAATTCTTCATATGCCCCACAGTTGGTTCCACTTTCAGTCCTTCAGTAACATAATCAGATGCCATGTATGTGTATCTGTTTAGGGCTGAGGAGTGAAAAAATATTCCCAAGAGAAAAGTGTTTAGTTTGTATGGCAGTGTTAACATTATAAACTCTTTCCTTTCATTCCCTGAAATAACCCTGAATATAGTTGTCATTTAGGCCTAGGGCTTTCCAGTTTGGCAAGAGAATACTTTTAACCTACCACATTAGGAAATGTGTCTTTTTGGTATCTAAATATTTGTCAAAAAGATTAACAGCCTAGTCTGCTGACTTTGGTGAACCTGTTCTGTGGGCTGAGCAGGTCTAAGGCAATTTAGCACTGGAGACTCTTTCCACCTAACCCTTTCTATGACCTCTTCCCCACATGTGCATCCCCAGGGTAAGACTCCATTCTCCACTTAAGCATGGAGCCCATGGAATAGCACAGTGGCAAATTTCAAGTCTTCTCACACAGCCAAGTCCTTGTAAGAGAAGCCAGATACTTCAACAGGCTGACAGCTTTTCTTTCAGAGCTGTTCAGAGGAGGCAGCTAAGATTAGAACCAAAGCTGAGAGAATGAAAATAGTGCTGAGGAAGATAGGTTCTCTTGATGCCCAGCTAAGGAAGAGCTTTCTTAGCTCTTGTCTCAGGATGGCCGAGCTGAGCTATCTATAGTGCCTTCCTGGGCCCAAAATCCCCTAGGGGCAAGGACTTTGTTGAAATCCTTTTGGTATTCCCCAGTGCCCAGCATGTAGCTGGTGCTTTCTAAGTGCTTGTTAAAGCACATGGATTTAAACAGTAGACAGCTGGCCCGCTTTCCCATTTTTGCCTACTGATTGTGCCCTACCAAGTGGTCTTACCCATTATGTGACAAAGTCCTTACCTCTTAGGAAACAGTTGTAAGGCATAGATTCCTTGTGTGGAAGAAAAGTTTGTTTTCTTCTTGAGGTTAGATATAGCCGCCCGTTTTTATTTCATTCTTTCACTTTTCTCTGCTAATGCTGTAAAGTTATCTTTGGTTACATCTCTCGTCACCACCATTCCACTCTCTGGTGAAAGGTGACCTTGCTTCTGCCCAGGAGTAGTCCCCCCCGAATCTTATCACATGCTCACTTTTCTTTCTATTCCTGGCCCTTACCCCCATCACGTATTGCCAGCTTCCCTTCTTCCGTAATCTCTTAGTCTTTGGGGGTTTCCTCTGCAGTCTATGAATATGTCTACATTTCTCTTGGTGACCTGGATCCTTTTCAGTTGCCTTCTCTTTTCCCTTCATAGTCAAAAGTTTCCTGAAGAATAATTTATCCTTAGAGTCTGGCACATCCTCACTTCTCATTCGATTTCCAACCTGTGGTTATCACGCAGCCTCTCTCTTCCCAAACTGCTCAGTGAAGAGCACACTCACATTTTCCTAAAATTAGGTCCATCGGGCATTTTGCCTTCCTTATTGTACTCCACCCGCTGGGTCATTTGACAGCATTGATCATTTCTTCTTGAAGCTTAAAACACTCTTCCAGTTCACCCATCTCTGCGTGTTCTTCCGTTCTCTGTTCTGCTTGTTGGTTTTCCTCTGCTTGCCCTTTAGATCAGGTGTCCCCAGGGGTTCTCCCAGGCCATCTTCTCTTTGACTCAGACTGTCTAATCAGTCTTCTGCCCCACTCTAGCTTTACATATTTCCAGTAGGCTGTGGATTCCAAAACCTTTATCTTCAACCAAGACCATCCCCCTGTGTGTATGTATGCACCAGCATGTCCCACAGGTGCAAAACTCAACTCATCACCTTAACCTGCTCCCCATTCACACACAGACACATTCTTCTTCCTGAGGGCTTTATCCCGGTCAGTGATTCCACTGTCTGTCCTGTTGTGTAATTCAGAGACCCTGGGATTCGTCCAAGACTCTGTTTTCTCTCCCCCTTCCCTAGCCTCTTCAGTACATTGACACATTCTGCTAATTCTGTCAAAGATCTGTCCATCCCTTTTGGGGATAAGCTCAGAAAGCTAGATGGTAATTGTGGTGAAATGTCTCGGTTTCCTTTTTCCCTGTGCCTTCCCAGAGAAATTATAGTAAAGTGTTGTTATAATGCTAGTAGCAGCAACTGATGCGGCTGTAGTGCTGCACAGCCTGGAGAAGGTCCCAGGAGGATAGGAAAGTTATGACTTATTAGGGCTGTGACAACAACCACATATAGTAAAGCAGAGCTCAGGAGTCCCATCTTCTGATTCCAGATCCTCTGCTCTTTGTATTCTTACACACTGTCCCAGATGCTGCTCTCAACAGGTGATTTAAAGAACTACAGAATTCCTCTTTCAGAGGGCTACTGCTCTGTTGTTGTCTCCATTCTCTTGCCAACAAAGAACTCGTTTATTTAACTGCTCTTTACTTCCTTATTCCATGTGAACTATTAGTTGCAAGTAAGGCAGACTGGGTCCCTGTCTTCTGGGAACTGTAGAGTTTTCAGGCAAGTAATAGTGAGTCAGAAATGTTTTTCATTTGTAGGAAATGGAACGAATGTGTGGTTAGTTAAGATTTAAATATTGTGTGTGATTCATTCCTTCAATAGTCCTTGTTGAGCCACCTGTCTGCTCGGCACTGTATGACTGTCATGGTCCCTGTTCTCATGGAAGTCCCTGGCAAGTGATGGAGATAGGTGTTAATCGGGCACGTCCACAAAAGTGTATGAATTATGTCACAGGTGTATTGGGGGCAGTGTTGGGAAGCTAAAAAGTCCCTAGAGTAGTTAAGAGGCCTGCGGAAGCTGTGTGAACCAGGAAGTTACTTTCCCTTGCTGGGCTTCTTTCTTTTCCTCCATAAAATGACCAAGGTTGAACTTAATTCCTTCTGGCTTACCACGTCTTTGAACTATGATTTAACAAAGGCACTTTGAATGAGTCGGGAGGCAGAGCAGAAAGTACCATTCTTTTGTGTTAACTGATGATTGAGTAATAACACTAAATGTTTCATGTATTGTCTCTGTAAACAGAGTCAGGCTCAAAATGTCCGTATTGGCTGCGTTGGTCTACTGAGAAAAGCATGCTCGCTCTTTATCACAGCAGCTTGGTATTTTAGTGGATCCTCTTGCAATCTTTAGGCTATTCTGACATTTGAGGGATTGGATCCTCTTCTGTAATCTTAAAAAAATCATCAACCCCCTTGTCCCTGTTCCTGAATTTGATACGTGAAGTGGGAACAATAATCCCAAACTTCTTTTTTTTTTTAATTTTTATTTATTTATTTATTTTTAAGATTTTATTTTTTTTTCCTTTTTCTCCCCAAAGCCCCCCGGTACACAGTTGTATATTCTTCATTGTGGATCCTTCTAGTTTTGGCATGTGGGACGCTACCTCAGCGTGGTTTGATGAGCAGTGCCATGTCCGCGCCCAGGATTCGAACCAACGAAACACTGGGCCGCCTGCAGCGGGGCGTGCGAACTTAACCACTCGGCCACGGGGCCAGCCCCCCAAACTTCTTAGTAAACCCCCAGAGGCACTGATTCAGCAAGGACATGAACACGTGTGAACATCTGCTATCCGCATGGCACTGCCAGGGTACACACAGACACGAAGAAGACGCAGTCCCTGCCCTCAAGGAATTTATGGCTTAGTGGTAGGAGCCAGGGTGAGCATGTATCTGTGCGACAGACTGTTAGAGGGCTGTGATAGAAGTTTATGTAGGATTGGAGGGACAGATGTCAGAGTAATCAGTCCTGCTGGCTGGTGGGAGGGGGCGTCAAGGGGATAGCACGGGATAGAGAAAAGAACGTTAGGTTTGCTTGGAGTCAGAAGACCTGGTTGTCCAGAATCTCCATTCTCTATATATTGGCTGTGTGACCTTGACTTCTTTGAGCCTGGATTGCCTCATCTATATAAAGGAAATAATAAGACCTCCTTCCCATGGTCACGGTGAGTGTGGAATTATACAAGTGTGTGTGATCAAGTTCTATCTGAGCTCTAGGGGTATGAGCTCTAAAGGTCATATTCCTGAATAAAGTGGGTGTTAGGCCACTTGTAATTGCGAAGGCAAAAGATTTTATTTGAAGTTAGATGTCAGATTAATCCCAAATGGGGATCAGCAACCTTTGACAGGTAGCATGCTATCTTGGCAGTCCCTGCTGTCCTGGCAGATCAGGTGTCTATTCTCACTCTTACATGCAACGGCAACTGTGTGCTTAGAGGATGTGGCAAGAAATCCATGACTCAAAAGCATGTCCCCACCTTGACTCTGGCGGCAGGGGTGGGTTGAGTATGCCTGCTCACCTGTGCCCTCAGGAATGGAAACGCAGTAGAGGTGTGTCTTAACTCTGACCTTTTCCCCCTTCCTCCCTTATACCAGATTTTATCATGTGGGCAACCTGCTGCAACTGGTTCTGCCTGGATGGACAGCCTGAGGAGGCCTCACCACCCCAGGGAGCCAGGACGCAGGCCTATTCTAACCCTGGGTACAGCTCCTTCCCTTCCCCAACAGGCTTGGAACCCAGCTGCAAGGCCTGTGGGGCCCACTTCGCAAACACAGCCAGGAAGGTGAGTGTTGACTGCTCTGCAAGCTTTGCTGCTACAGCCTCAGGCCCTCAGACAAACCCCTGACCCTTCTATAATGCCTCCGCCTTGCCTTTGCAATGCTGGTAACCCAGCCCATTCCTTTCACAAAAGTATTAAAGAAAAACTAGCCAAGCAAAAGCCAAGCGTCTCAGCATAGATCTGGAGCCAGCTAGACCTGATTCAGATACCAGCTTTGTCACTTACTAGCTGTATGACCTACCCTTTCTTGAGATTCATTTTCCCCATCTATAAAATGGGGATATAATAGTTGTACCTATCTCACTGTGTTGTGAGACTAAAATGAGATTGGCTACAGAGGGTGCCCAGCAGGATCTTGGAATGTAGCAGGCACTTGATGTTATTTCCTTCATTAGCTGCCATCATAAAAAGCCTGACTGAAGATTAACTTGTCCTTTTTATCGAAAGCAGTGTCAAGGACGTCTCAGGTACATCAAGACCCTGACAAGACAAAGACTGGAGCTTATTTACTGTAGCGATTTCATTTGAAATGCATGGTAGCTGTGTTTTCCAGATTAGCAAGCAGGAGGTAAAATTACTGGCTGGGTAATGGTGCGTGGGTGAGGGCCGTCCCTTTGTTAGTGCCCAGAGGCAGCATGTTCTCTATGGTCAAGCACAGCTGGGGCTGAAGGTGAACCCTGACCTGGAGAAAGAAAGAACTGCCTTCTGCATTATTCTGCAGAATGAGAGGTTTTCAGCCCAGAATGTGATGTTAAAATGGCGATAATGGGAAATTTGAGAGGAAAAAAGACTTTTTAAACCATCTGTTTATATGCCAGCAATTTAGACTTTTTGTTTCATTTAATCCTTGCAATAACTTTGACGTAGGTTGTAGGGTCCCTAAACTTCCAGTTTATATATGAGAAACTAAGGCTTAGAGTTTAACAGTTAAAAAGGAAACTGTACAGATCAAGTTCCTGACAAATGGCATACAAGACATTAAAATACTCATTCTTTTCCCTCTACTAAGGTAGTGCCCCAAGATCACATAGTTATTAAATGACATAGCCACGATTCAAACCCAGGTCTTTGACTCTCAAGCTGTGTCCCAGAAGACATTCAACAAGTCAGTATTTCTGCAGCTTGGAGTGTTGACCACCCACCCTTTGGTGCCTGTAAGATGAGGAAGGCTGGGCGTTTTGCCTGCACTTCACTGTGATGCAGTGAAGGCAGGCCCACTGCAGAGCTTTGTTGTGACTTGCTTGGCTACCCCAGTCACTGTGAGAACTCAACCAGGGAGGCTGCTGCAGGCAGCCAGAGAGCTATGACTCGGTGGGCAGAGGTGCCCCTCCCCACCTTTTACACTTAGACTGAAAGGTTGAGTCCATAGATTGAGACTGGAGGGCAGGTTCGAAGGAACTTGGCACCACATGGCCTCAGTCTTCTCAGTGATGGAAATGGTGGGTGGAGTTAGGATCTGCGAGGAGATGGAAGGAGGGCTGTTGGGTGCTGCCGCATGCCTGGCACTGAGCTTGGCATTTCAAATGCGTTATCTCACTGAATCCTAACAGCAGCCTATGAAATGTGCACTATGATTTGTTCCCATTTTACAGATGAAGAAATTGTTCTTTTTACCTAAGGTAGTAGTTTCAAGGACTCCTCGGGTACATCAGTGTCTGTTGGATAGCCAGAGATCTTGTTGTTTTCATTATTACATGGTGAGAGATGCTAGGAACCACTGCTGGTAGAAGTGGCAAAGTAATTGGCAGGAAGGGAATAGAGGACACCCTTGTTTAAATGAAGCAGTGTGAATCTGTATGAATCTTTTTTTAAAACATCAGTTATACTCTATGGAGTGGAAATGGAGAGAGAAAGAGCAAAGAGTTCAAGGATGGTGATCCAGGCTCGGGGATCAGCATGTCAAGATGTTGAAAGCCTGAGAGAACCTGGGGATCCAGTGAGTTCTTGACATTTCTCAGCCAGCAGAGAGAATGTGAATGAGCAAGGAAACCGCCCCCAGAGAAAGGAGAATGAATGATGGTTAGGTGAGGATGGGAAAATGCTTTATTTTTCTTTATAGTGGTTTTCACCACCTGACGTGAATATGTTTGTGGATTACCTGTCTTCTCAGATGGTACCTAGGAACAGGGATTTTGTCCATTTTGTTCACAGCTTTATCCCCAGCGTCTAGAACAGTGACTGACACGTGGTAGACAGGCAATAAATTTTTTTAAATAAACAAATGAATAAATGGACAGTTGAGAACAATTTGAAAAAGAGGAAGAAGACCAGAGAGTTTCTATTTTCATTACTTTGTGGCTGACAATTCCATGCTGAAGATTTTCTTTGAGGGCCCAGTTCTGTAGCAGCGGTGTGCCAGCAGCTAGAGGTTATAGCTTTGTGGAGATAGAGCTGAGTAGACATAGGTCTTTTCCTCAGGGAGCTTACTTGTCTGGTTAAGCCGACCCACATTTAAAAGAACTAACAACAGTCAGCTGCATAAGTACTAGGAAATCAGGCAGTGTTGGTAAATTGCTAATTTTAGCTGGATGAAGGAAGGTTTATTGATTTGCAAAGCAGTGGCTGAAGTAAAGGCACCAGATATGGGGCAAACGCAAGGTGTATCTGGGAACTGTGAGTGGCCTATTTGGCCAGAGCGCAGAAAACTTTGGAAGTTAGGGTGGAACAAAGTTGGGATCAGGTGGTGAAGGGCCAAGACTGCCACAGTAAGAAGCTTGTAGGGACCAGACAACAGGGAACCATAAGAAAGACTTTGCACAGAGGAATGGTGTGGTCACTCCTGTCTCAGGTAGCAGACATGCTTTGATGGAATGGGGGGAGTGGTCTTAGGAAGTTCTTTCACAGCTGATGAGAAGTCATCAGAGCCTGATCTTGGGTGGTGGCTGAGACTGATTGATGTAGCTACCATTTAGGGAGCAACTGTTCATGCCAGACCCTATGAAGGAGTGGTTGTTAATCCATTTTACGGATGGAAAATATGAGACTCAGAACTAGGTACTTAGCTACTAAGATACATGGGCATGCAGCAGAGGAAGACAGATGAAATGTAGGAGGAGAAGGTCAAACTGAAGATAACAGGATGTTGGCCTGGGTGCCTAGGAGCATGGCAGTGGTTAAAATAAGGAACTGCATTCATTGGAAAATAAACTATGAGTGTCTCCCGTGTGTCAGGCATTGCCTGGGCTAGGAGGGTGAAGGTGAAGAAAGTGATCCTGCTTAAGAAGGGGCTTGCAGTCTGAGAGGAAGATGGGAGCAAACACAGCCACACACAGAGATAAGAAGAAAGCTTCTGTAGCAAGAAGTACTCCTTTTGTAAGGAGAAGAAAAATTCCAATTTGGGTAGTAAAAGATGGTTACTGGTACAGTCATTTCTTGCCACCAAAGTATGAGTTAATTTTATGTAATTCACAATGAATTTTATGAATATTAAGGATGTTTTCTCCTATGAGAGTTTTTCATTTGTAATTTCATGCTTAAGCGGAGCAGCATTCTTATCTTAAGGGTCTGGCATTTAACAGCCTCAGGCTTTTAAAAAGTCTTTTCCAGAAGTGGTTAAATTGAAATGATTACATGGATCCTACTGTCTTTTTTTCTTTTCTTCATTGTGGTCGGTATTTTCTGAATGCTTAGATAACATTAAGGACTTTTAGAGAGAACATAAGATGCAGCCCCTGCCTTCCTAGAGTTTCCAGTCTTGGAAAGAAATGGCAGGCTGTAATTTTGCCACAAGCCAAATATCCCATCTGTATTGGTAATAGCTACATGTGGTTGAGCAGCAGCCCTGACTGTTTTGGAGGGGGTTTGGCACCCAGCCTCGTTAGTTGGACCAGTTCGAGGAGGAAGGATGAGGAGGAGGAGGTTGTGCTTGGAAACATGGAGGAGATACTCAAATCTCAGAGTGGAGAGAGAGGGAGTGGTTCGTAGGTACTGGCAAAAGCTCAGAGATGAGGCAAAGGGGAGAGGGAATAGAAAGTGATGTTACCTTTTTGTGAGAGCCCACCTATGCTAAGGTTTTATATGCATTACCTTATGTGATACTTCAGTGGTCCTTAGAGATAGGCTGACCATCCGACTTTACAGGTGAGGAATAAGATGCTTTGGGAGGTTAACTGTTCTGCACAGGCTCCCTTAGTTAGGAAGTGGTCAGCCAGGACTTCATCCTACTGTTGTCACTCCTCACGCTGCCCTTTTTCCTCCCAGTGGACATAAGAAGGGTGGTGAGGAGGCGGGTGAGAAAGTGGGCCTGGCCTGCACTTGGGAACATGAGTGCGGAGGCAGTAGGAATAAGGGAAGGACAGGGTAGCAAAGGGGAGCAACCCACGTGGCATCCTTGAAGGGCGGTGCCTGCCGAGGTGCCACTGCCAGCCCTTTGATGCTGGGTGTCGGCATGCAGTCTTGGCATTTTTGCAGGCACACTGGCTCCACTAATTCCTCTTTCATACTACCTGTTCCTCTGTTGGTTTGCATCATTTGCTGGAGTTTACACATAGGTGTTTCCCTTTGCTCATTCTGCCCACTTTTGTTGACAGCGTCTTTTTCCTTTTCCTTGTTCTCTCTTGCCTCTGCAAACTGGGATTTTAGCCTCCAGTGCTGTCTCCCTCCGGTAGGGTGTTTCAGATGCCCTGGTGAGCAGGGGGTACAGAGAAGCTGGGTTGCAGTCTTTGAATTCTGATCTTGAATCCAATAAGCCACATACATTTGAAGAAAGAATAGATGGTTGTTTAGATCTGGCTGATTGAGCAACGCGGGGCTTTTTAATTGTGTCGAGCTAGGTCTTGTCATACTGCACTGACTTAAGTAATGTTCCATGTCCAGACCTACAGCTTTATGACATCGAAGCCTCTTCATTTCACTATCAGTCATCCTAAACACATTTCACTTCCCAATAGAAAAGCTTTAGGTATGAATGAACCCACAATACCCCAAAACATCCATTTTGCTCCTGAGTGGCTACTGGTCCCAGAACCGTTATGATGCTAGTGCAGCCAGGCGTCCTTTTATGTCAATCTGTGAACATTTTATTGTCTGGTTATAACTGTGTAGAGTATAAGGGAGCTTGTTATGTGTCCTTTCGCAATGCCTGCTAAGTATTAAGAGTCAAAACTGGATGGTGAACATTATCCCCGTTTCCCTTTACTACATGAATGACACTTAGACAAAACTAAATATAACTCTCTCAGCTATGCAGACTTTTACTTCAACCCCACCCTAGAGTGTCTGTGATTCTGACTATGAGAATCTAAGTCTCTTGGGCATTCTTGTTAGCTTGAAAAGCTTTCTATACTTAGAAAAGAGGAGCAGGAATATTTAGGTTAATACTTAAGTCACCATAGGGTGAAGCTTTTAATTTAACAGATTAGTGAGTGTGACCCCAGGACTGGCCCAGTGTGCCCAGGAACTACCTCTCCTGTGGGCCGCTGCTCTTGGTTGGAACAGAGCTCTGTCAGATGTCGCCATCCTCACTCAGCCTGTGGGGTGAGAGGCCGAGGCTCTGCTTCCTGTGAGTTGAGCAAGCCTTCGTGTGTTGTGTTGTCTGTGACTGTGTGAGTAGCTGCTGCCAGGCGGTACCAGCTGCCTGCCAGGCTCTCTCGGTCGTCTGCCTGAGACACTCTGTACTTTTACAAACGAGGGCTCCCTAATCGTGTCCAGCGGGCCTCATGTAGCTGTCTAAATATTTGTCTTGGATATGCTCTTATGCACCACTGAATTCCCAGCACTCTGAGGGGGCCTTTCTGGGGTGGGGAGGCCTGGGCACTAGCTCCTATGGATGGGGCCTGGGTTGGGAGTTTGGAGGTGGAGAGCCAGGCCCTTGACTCAGGACTGCTGTAGGCTTGAAAGGGACTGAGGCAACATAGCCTGGTGGAAAGAGGAGGATTGTGGCCATTAAACTCAGACAGCCCTTGAGTGTGAATCCCAGCTCTGCCCTTGATGCCTGCCTTTGAATACAATACTTAAGCTCTCTAGCCTCGAATGCTTTGTCTGTGAAACAGGGAGGTACACGAATACCTATGTTGTGAGGTTGCCTTGAGAAGTAAATGACAAGCTTGGTAGAGCTCTCACATGTAGTAGCACCTTAATAAATTTAATTAATAATAGTAATAGTAACAACCCCCACCACCGTAACATTTATACATTTGCTTTCTTATCTCAGCAATAAAGTAGAAAGAACCATAGTTCAGGATTTGAATCCTGGCTCTCATCATTAGCTCGTATTTCCTAGCAATAATAATTAAAATAGTTAACACTTACTGAAGAGTCACATGGCGGATATGCTAAATGCATTATCTCTTAACTTTACAACAATCCTATGAGGTAGATACTGTTATCACCCTCATTTTACAGATGCAGAAACTGAGGGCTAGAGAAGCTAAGTTACACACCCAAGGTGACACCTCAAGAAATGGAGGAGGGAGACATCATAATGCAGGGCTTCTTGATTCTAAATCTGGTAGTCTTAATAGCCTCCATTTCCCTATCAGTAAAATGAATAAGCCTCAAATGGAATAATAAATATAGTGTCCTATACATGGGTACACAGATGCATCTGGAGGTCTGCCACCTGAGTGGCTTTTCACCTGAAATCTGCAGGGTAGCTTGCATCCTTAGCTGTAAGAGGTACTGAATAAGAGAGTGATTGGAGGAGGTCTCCCTAGGCTTGGCAGCTCTCAGCTCGCATTCCACTGTCTTGTTCTCGCATTCTGATGTGGTTCCCTCTGCCTCTTGCAGCAGACCTGCTTGGACTGTAAGAAAAATTTCTGCATGACCTGTTCGAGCCAGGTGGGGAATGGGCCCCGCCTCTGCCTTCTCTGCCAACGATTCCGAGCCACAGCCTTTCAGCGGGAGGAGCTCATGAAGATGAAGGTGAAGGACCTGAGGGACTATCTCAGCCTCCATGACATCTCTACCGAAATGTGCCGGGAGAAAGAGGAGCTGGTGTTCTTGGTGCTTGGCCAGCAGCCTGTAATCTCCCAGGAGGGCAGGACTCGGGCCCCCACCTTGTCCCCGGACTTCCCCGAGCAGCAGGCCTTCCTGATCCAGCCTCACACCAGCACAGTACCTCCTACCTCACCCAGCCGCCCTTCTTCACCCACACAAGCCGCTTCTGTTCCCCCCACGCCCGCTCAGGAACATCAGCAGGTACGGGCTCCTTCAGTCTCTGCCGACCTCTGCCGGCCCGGGGCTCCTTTCCAAAGTCCCCGCCTGTGCTGTGGGAGCAGGCCGTGAGGTGAAGTGTCTTGATTACGTAGAGCCTTTCTGCCTACTGATTCATGAATGATGTTTTTTGGATATCAGACTTATGATTTAGCTTTTTTTCAGAGATGATAATGCATAGTACCAGGTTTTTTGCTTTTAATACATACATATCACAGTTAGATATTTAAAAAAAATTCATTTTTGCAGAAATATTTTGAGAAAACTCTGTTAACTTTCCAGATTTAGTTCTGTTCAAATTGTCCTCGTACTTAGTCACCATTGTTGTGGTCTTCCTTAGCTGAATGGGAACTTGGTTCCTTAGTAACCATCACAAGGCACAGAGGGAAAAAAAGGAATATGTAGGGGGAAGGGAGAGTGGGGAAACGGTATGTCCAAGACAAGGATGCTGCTGCTCTCCCCAGTCATTGTGCGGGGGAGTGGTTGGCCGCTGTTGAGCGGTAAGCTGCCTTCTCATCATCCTGGGCAGGCTGGGAAAGGTAAGCTCAGAGCAGCACATTGACTGAATTCTGAAGCAGGCATGGGAAGTACAGAAATCAGCAGTACATTGCCTCTGCCCCCAGAAAGGCCCTCTAAGAGGTAAAGTAAACACCCAAACCTATTGGATTAGAGTGAAGCCAGTGGACTTAACCATTGTGTAAGGAGTGATGGCGTCCCACAGATATACTTACTTGCCTTCATGACCCTATTATTTATATGGCTTGGGCAATAGTGGGGGGATTAGGACCTACAAATTGGGTTTCCACATTCAATTTGTCACTCACTCTCTGGTCACCTTGGGTGAACTTGGAGCCTTCAGCAATGAAATGGGGTTAGCTCTTGCCAGGCTGTTGGGAGGATTGACTAGCATAAGATCACATCTAAAGAGCTTTGAGCTACTTAGAGTTGGCATAGTACCAGTGTTGTTGGTTCCCACACAGGATGTGGGTGGCTACTGCCTCTTGTTTATGATCACTTCCTTTGCCAGTCCTGGGCCCCCTGATTCAGCTCTGATGGGCACTGAGGCATAAAGGCCAGTGTGATAGCACACTTTACCTGCAGTAAACTCACTGAGCTCCCTTGTTGGCTTGAGCGTGCTTTCCTCTCAGCTAGAGGTTAACTTTCCTAAGCTCTGGTTCTGTCTGCTGGACAGGTTTTGCCTCCCGCTGTGACTTCCTCACTTTGCTTGGTTGAGCGCTCCTCTCCATTTATGGGGAGCCAGGAGAGTAACTTGAGGAAATTGTTTTTTCCTAGAGAACCGGCAGGTGGGTTTTTCAATGAAAGGAGTAGGTTTTAAGCTTCCTGTCGTTAACCAGAAATTTACAGACTGCATCTACAGGTCATAACTGTGTACCAGATTTCATTAGGTACTTCTCTCATGTTTTCAGAGGGCCTTAATGTCAGCTCACATCCCCTGTTCTGGTAAGATCTGCATTTTGCAAGCCAGAAAAACAGATGGGGAGGAAGTAACTTGTGCAAGGCTACCTGACAGTTCCACAAGTGAGCTGCACCTGGAATGCAAATCTGCTCATGGTCTTTGCTCTCGTTCTTTCGTTTACCCTCAATGCCCTAGCAGTAGTTTCTAGGGAAGGAGGTGTATGGAATAAGCAAAACTGTGGACAGATACCAGCTGTAGATTTTTATTTAGCCAGTGGGCAGAATGAAAAGACAAGAGCATGCTTTGCAGCGTGAGATCTAGTTTCTCTTTCTAGGAAAGAAAGGACATATAAAAGCTGTCTTCTTAGGAACAGGTTTGGTTCTGACAGACTTTTTGTAACTCCCAGGTGACACCAGGAGGCCAGTGGGTACCACACCTACATAAAGCTAAGAGGACACTAGAGGTGTTGATGAAGATGTTGTTTTGGATGCAGCCACATACATGTGTGCTGTTGTGTGATCTTATCATCGCTTGCTGTTTTTGGTGGTGGTGGTGATTACTACTTTTCATTTCCATTGTTGTTGCTTGCCTCTTCTTAATTAGCTCCATATTATGCATCCTAGTCTGGGATGAGCGGCTGGGGCCAGCGGGTGGCTGGTCTCCCAGGTTGTCCCTTTCCTGGTGCTCTGAGGGTCTAGTGGAAAAGGCCTGTGAGCTCAGATACCTCCCTTTGCCTGGAGGGAGCAGCAGGTGAAGAGGATCTAGTTAAGGGGTTTGTGGCTTAAATGGTGCTGGGGTTAGGAGGCTCACAGTTCTGACTACTGTGGCAAAACCTGAAGGAGTACCTAGGAGGAGCCTTTTGAGAAGTTAGAATTCTAAGCAGAATGAAACTCCTTAAACATAAGTGTTTGTTATATAGTCTTAGGCTAATAGATTCTTAGAGGCATTAAAACAATTTTTGACCAGGTTTCAAGACAGCTCTTAGTAATAGTGTGCCCTGCTGGTTAGAGCACATTTCTAGAATGTTACTGGCCAGAAGAGACGGAACAGCGTGGTTAGGGTCTGGAAAGTGTCTCATCTTGGCCAGATGAGGAAGGTGGGGAGATCTAGTATGGAGGAAGGGAAGACATGATAGGAACAGTTGGGAAGAAAATAGTGGACATTAATCCAAGGGACAGAACCAGGGACAGTAGGCAGAAATTATAGGGAGAGCAGTTTGGGGTCAGTGTCAAGAAAAAACTCGATGGCAGTTTGAGGGCAGTCTGCCAGTGGAGTGGACGTGTGATGTCCTTTCACTCGGAGCGTTCAAGTGAGGCTAAATGGATGGCGAGTGGCAGCTGATTCCATCCTGGTGGTGGGCAGAATTAACGCACTCTTGTCCTAGAGTTGAAATCTATTTGTATTGTTTCTCTGCCTGACAAAGTCATTGTTAGAGAGCAGGCTTTTGTAATGCTGTTGTGCAAGACAGATTTCTGGGGGAGATGGGAATACATTGTGGACATGGTCTGTGCTGGGAAGAGGCCCATGCTGTGCAAATCCCTGGGACATCTCTGTGGATGTGATGGCACCTTTCTCTTCCCACAGGCCAGTGGCCATGTGTCTCAGGACCAAGAGGAACCCGTCTTCCTGGAGAGCACAGCCAGAGCACCTGCTGAGGATGAGACCCAGGTGGGCTTCTGCTCGGGTCTGGGCCTTCGCCTCTGCTCTCTCACTGGTGTTCTCAGACTTGATTAGGAGCCTCTCAGCGGACTCAGAAGTGGACAGAGAAGAATCAGTTTGATGAGAGTTCTTCTGAAATTCTGTTTTCAGGGATGGAGTTTAATTTTGGTGTTCCAGAGTAACCTTTGAAGTTTCAGTGTGAGTGTGGAGTTGTGAGATCACAGTGGAGACTGGGGAGCCTCATGGCCCAGCTAGTACCAGTCTCTTCATTTTGACAGCTGCCAGAGCGCAGCCTCCTGGTGCTGCTGTGCAAATCTCGGTGTTCTTTCCTTCTGCTTCTAGTGCACAGTGGCCAATGTCAGGGGAAGCAGGTCAGATAATCAGGAGGAGAGAGGAGAGGGAGGGGGTTCAGACCTCAGCTGTGGCGGGGCCAGTCCAGAGAGCACAGCCATCAGGGCCACGGAGCTCTGGTCGAGGCTGCCTACAGGAGCGCTTGCCAGGGCTGTCTGCCTCTTCCGTGGAAAAGCAGGACTTTCTCTGGGGAGAGACAAAGACAGACCAACACTGTGCTTGGTGGTTTCTTGTGCTGCCACATGTAATCTTCACAAGAACCTGTGTGCAGGACTGCCATCTTGCCTTTATGGAAGGGCAGACAGGCTCAGAGAGGTGAGCCACTTGCCCGCTACTATTTAGCATTAATCAGTGGAGGAGTCAGGATTCAAAATCAACCAGTTTGATTCGAACTGGCGCTCCTTCTACTCTGTCACACTGATTGGCTGGTTTGTGGCTGGCTGTGCCTGAGCACAGAACTGTGGGTGAGGAAGAGGCTGGTCTGTGTTGCAATGCAAAGCACTACGCCAGGTACTCTTCCTGCCTCTGTTCCTACTCTTCTTGAGGTCAGTCACCAAAAGTAGGGTGTGCCGAGTACTCTGGGGTCCTTGGAGAGAGCTTGGGGAGGTAAGAGCTGAGTCCACCAATCTCATCTTTGTCTTTGCAGTCCGTCGACTCAGAGGACAGCTTTGTCCCGGGCCGGAGGGCCTCTCTGTCTGACTTGACTGACCTAGAGGACATTGAAGGTCTGACTGTGCGGCAGCTGAAAGAGATTCTGGCTCGCAACTTCGTCAACTACAAGGGCTGCTGTGAGAAGTGGGAGCTGATGGAGAGGGTGACGCGGCTGTACAAGGATCAGAAAGGACTCCAGCACCTGGGTGAGGGGCTGTCTGGGTGGCAGCTGCACAGAGTTCTGGAGTGCTTGCTGTCACTCTAAAGCATGACAGCATCAACCTGACTAAATTTCCATGCTTTTAGCCAAGGAAGGAGTCACCTTACACATTTGCACCATCTAATAATAGCTGTCATTTGGAGATGAGTGCCAGGACTGGGTTAGGCCTCATATACATTTCCTTAATCCTCAGAGCAGCCTATGAAATAGGCATTATTAGCATCCCCCTTTTATTGTAGAGCCCAGATTTGAACTGAGGATTTCCTGGTGTAAGCCCATGGCCTTTCCCACCATGTCACCCCTGCTGTACTCACTACCACCTCCAACAATGCTTAGTCCAAACACTTGGGAGATAAGGAAGTGAATCTTTGCACACATGATGCAAGGAGAATATAACTGTTCGGCCTGCACTTGGCCTCTCCAAAGAAGTCTATCTCATCTTCATCGCCAAAGAAGTCTCTGTGGTGTCACTTTCAGGCAATGCCTAGTAAAGCGTCCAGTCTGTGGTCAAATGAGTTTGGGAAGAAATACTTGATATTATGTCCCCCCGTTACTGATTCATGGTAGATACTATAATAGTAAAGGCAGACAAGTCCTACAGAAGAGAAATATGTTTAGGTGTTTTAAACTCTGCATTTCCTGAAAGGATTTTACGCAGAAAAACTCCCCGCCCCGCCCCCGGTGATTGAGCTCGTGCAGATGGCCTTCTGAGTCCTCGCATGCTAGCAGTGGCTCAAGTCAGGTTTCAGGCTCTCCTATCCTACCAGCTCAGGTTCATCCGAGTTAGGAGACATCTGACTAGTCCCCTGATCACAGACTCTCTTGCCTTTGGGACTGTCCCCAGAGTTTCCCTGGAGTTATGAGGACCTGGGGAATAGGTGAGATGGCTCCACCTGGGAACTTTATCCAGACTTCCTGGCTGACTGGAACAGACTGTTCCTTCTTTCTTGATTTTAATGCTGTCTTCAAAAGCGATAGAAAAGGAGATTCTGCTTATGTAGTAGCCTTCCTACATGGCAGTTTTGTTCATGCAGACCAGTGGAATCCTTTTCTTAGACTAGACCAGACACACCAGCAGGAGCTGTGTGTGAGTTCTCAGTGTAGAATGAGTGAGGGTCCTGGCCAGCCTGGTTGCTGGCAGGGAAACAGTCAGAGTTCAGAAATGAAGTCAGGTGGCTAGAGACTTTGCTCGTGCCTCACATATTCAGACATCTTCTTTCTCTTTCCTTTTCAGTGTGCAGTGCTGAAGACCAAAACGGTACGTAGCTGTTTCTGTTTGGGAATGGGCCCAGGCTCTTAGCACTCTGTCCTTCCCCTCCTTCATCCCTGATTCCTCTTTATAGTCGAAGAATTGTATCTCAGCATCCAAAGAGAGGGTGTGGGGGAAATTCACTGAGAACCAGGGCTTCTGAGCATCCTTAGAGATGCCTGCTCTTCCCTCTCAGGGAAGCATACCTAGGGGCAGACTGACTTGCACATCTCTGGGTTGCCAGAACTCAGAAGCCAGCATTTGTAAAATATTTAACAAAGTGCATGGTGGCATGCATCACATTGGGTTCATTTTTCATACTCCTGGTGCTAAGGCACTCCTCCTCCTACAGTTTTATTCACTTCTGGTCTGAGTGGGGAGGGTATGTGTGCATCTTCAGGGAAATCACCTGGGATATTTAACAGCTTCTGGTACCAAGCAAAAAGAGAGGGTAGTGGGACCAGCTCAGTGGCATAATGGTTAAGTTTGCATGCTCCGCTTCGGTGGCCTGGGGTTTGGATCCTGGGCGTGGGCCTAGCACCGCTCATCAAGCCATGCTGTGGCAGCATCCCACATAAAGTAGAGGAAGACTGGCATGGATGTTAGCTCTGCGTCAGTCTTCTTCAGCAAAAAGAGGAAGATTGGCAACAGATGTTAGCTCAGGGCCAACCTTCCTCTCCCACACACACAAAAAAGAGAGGGTGGTGACCTGAGAGAGAGAGCCTTGTTTGTACACGGCTAGGCAGTGGTTAGAGCTGCTCTGGGGACAGATCGGGAAAGGTGTCACATATGGTGCTCCCTGGGCACTAAGATGCATATCCCACCTCAGCTGCCACACGCCTACCTGTATGTTAAAGACCACCACTGGGCCTTTGGGTACCCCTAGAACACACTGCAAGAATCTGAGTGGATCTGGGCATCATTCTAAAATATGCTGTACCTTTTTGAAAGCATCGAGGCTCTATGGTTGTGAGCTCTTCCCCAAGAGAGAACGTTCTCAGAGTAGTGTAGGGGCCTGCAAAGCATTTTAAAACTCTTTTTTTTTTTTTAAGATTGGCACCTGAGCTAACATCTGTTGCCAATCTTTTTTTTTTCCCCTTCTTCTCCCCAAAGCCCCCCAATATATAGTTGTATCTTCTAGTTGTAGGTCCTTCTGGTTGTGCTATGTGGGATGCTGCCCCAGCATGGCCTGATGAGCAGTACCACGTCCGCGCCCAGGATCCTAACTGGCAAAACCCTGGGCCACTGAAGCGGAGCGTATGAACTTAACCACTTGGCCACGGGGCCAGCCCCTAAAACTTTCTCAGAAGACTCTCCAAATTTATTTAGTTAAACAGCCTTTTGCTTAGAATGGGGCAGAGTCCTCTAGCTGATAAATTCTCAAGAGCTGAGCTCTTCTCAGTTCCCCCAAGCCTTTTGGAGTTCTAGACCCATCCCTTACCTGATGCCAGGATCAGGCTAATCCACTTGGTGTCTTCCTTTCTTTTTTCTGATCCCCTGGGAGAATGCTGGCAACTGAGTTGATGAGTTTATTGTTATTCCTGAGAGAAATAATCAGTAATGAAATTCTCTAAAGTACTCCAGCTCATCTTAGGTATTTGTATAGTTTAGTCCTTTGCAAACCTTCCCTGTTAGGGCAGCAGCTCCTCAAAGGGGTAAGTGGGTTTCACTACCTTTCACAGGTGTCTTTCAGCCCTACTTAGGGCTGCCTGGCTGAGGCTATCATTTAAAACATGCTGGGGATGGCTGGGGTTTTGGACATGAAGGTTTTTCTTGTTTGTTCAGCTAAACTAGGAGGATCCTAGCTGTGCCCAGTGTATCTCACCACTCGCCCAAGCCAGTTAGCTGGCATGGAGAACTCCGGCACTGAGCACTTAATACCATCATGACAGTCCCTGCCCTCAGGCCACGTGCCCACAAGGCCCTCTGGGCACATTTGAATCCTGGCTCCTCTCCTTAGCTGTTGTGTGCCTTTGGGCAAGCACTTAATTCTTTGGCCTCAGTTGCCTCATCTATGAAATGAGTAAAAAGAATACCTACTTCATAGTTTTTGTAAAGATTCAATGAGTTAAAACATGCAGAGCTCTTAGGACCCTGCCTGGCACCTGTACGCATTTGGTAAACATGAGCTGTTGTTATTTCCCTGGAGACGGTTCATTTATCAGACAGGTGGAGAACACCTACCACGTGACTGGTATTTTAGGGATTCACAGATGAATATCTGACCTCAGAACACATAGCAAATGCTAAATATATCACTATAGAAATGGAATGTGTTGAATTAAGGAGCTCAAATAGAGTAGTGGGGGAGATAAGTTGGCAAACTCAAAAATTCTAGTCCAGTGCGATAAGCACTCATGGGGGTATGAATCATTTCTGCGGGGGCAGCACAGAAGAGGGAGCTGTAGTCTCTGCTGGGCGCTTCTGCCAAGAAGTCTTCTCAGAGGAAGCCTGGTGTAGTTTATGGGGTAGGGTAGCACAGGGGGCCCCCATGATCCCTGGCTTTATTAAATTGGGGTTTGTTTACAGATAAGCTTTGTGATCCTTAATGAACCATTCATTACAGCTCCATTTCTATCTAAACTATTCTGAACCAGTTTTATCTTTTCAGCATGTTCTGCCTCAGGGGATAATGAGTCCCTAAGTGCCTCTCACTCACTATATTACAGCTTCACTTGTCTGAAAGTTACTTCTTTTAAGCTTTGAGGACTTTGCCTTAACTAGTTCTCATGTTCTAGGATGTATTTCATCTATACTCTACTCTTCAGATCTACAGCCTGACCTCTAGGGGTGCAGCTTCAATAAGCACTTGGACGTAGTTACTAGGGAAATGTTTTCTTGGAGCTCTAGCTGAGGGAAGCATGTGGATTTGGGGGTTTGTGCCTGTTCTCTCCCCCTCTATCTCCCCACTGCCCCATATGCTTAGACAATCTCCTTACTTTCTCCTTTGCCCCTTTTCTGCCCTGTGTTTGTACAGGGGGAGCAGTGCCGTCCGGCCTGGAGGAGAACCTGTGTAGGATCTGCATGGACTCGCCCATTGACTGTGTCCTGCTGGAGTGTGGCCACATGGTAACCTGTACGAAGTGTGGCAAGCGCATGAATGAGTGTCCCATCTGCCGGCAGTACGTGATCCGAGCGGTGCACGTCTTCCGATCCTGAGGGCTTGTACCGACTTCGTCAGTGCCTTATAGGGACATAGCTGAGGTGTCTGGGCTCAGGGTTGGCCAGCTTGCAGAGGGGCAGGCTAACAAGAAAATTTGCAGTGTTCCCAAGACCAGAGCAAACAAAGATGCTATGTCACCTCTGGGCATGCCTCTCTTGCCATGGAGATGCACCTCTTGGCTGGGAGAGCCCGGGGCCAGTGGGAACTGGTACAGATTGCATGGGCAAGCCCGTTTCAATGATCTTGGGGTGATGATGGTAGTTGAAGAAGAGAAGACTTTCCAGAACTTGGACCATATCTTCCTCCCTTCCTCCCTTCCTCCGAGAATCTAAACTCAGTTTCAGCCTTCCTCCTGTACCCTACCCATCCCCTGAACTGCTTGCCTCTGTGTTTCACCAATCAGAAGTCCTGGTAGAAATGGTTCTCTTCCTCCCCAGCACATTTGGATTTATTTCTGGTCTCTCTGGCTTTTTGTGCATTAACCTCCCTTTGCTGAAGTGTCTTGCTACATTGCCTAAAATCCATTTGTTTCTTCAGACCAAAAAAATATTAGCTTACCAGACCAATAGTGATCTTCCTTAGGACAGAATTTGGACCAGTAAATGTCTCTCTGGTGAGAAATGAAACACAAATGCTATTGAAAAATTTCATCGTTAAGAGTTCCTTCCTTGAGTGCTGGGATTAGAAGCTATCGGTTTCCTGACCTGAACTTGGGAGCCAACAAAAGCCTCTGGCTCCCCAGCTGCTGGGAAATTCTAGTTTCCATGTGTGAGAGAGGATGCGTGGATATCTCTGCCGCTTCTTTAGGGGCCTCACTTTGTGCCATCATTAGTTTTAGCTTATGAGAAAAGGGGAAGTGGTGGGTGGAAGCAGTGGCTTTCTGTTTAACTTTGACTTCTCCAATGGACAGGAGTCTTAAACCACTTTTCCTGAGAATGAAGTCCCTCTCTTTTCCATGGAAGTTTTAAACATGCTCGCATTGAAGGTATAGAGACTTAGGCAATGAGCCTTGCTTTTCTCTAGCCAAACTTCTCATGAAGTTCCTGGAGACCAAACATGTACGACAGAGCAGCTAAGAGGTATTAGAAGGTACTTGGATTCAGCTCTTGAGCAGATAGCTGGAAGTCTTAATTTCCCGGGGTGGGGAGGACTCCCTACTCCCATTTCCTTTCTCAGCCTACTGATTGGGGGCACGTCAGGAAGAATTCTCTAGGCCCTTTAGCAAGGACCATCAATGAGTTGCTGATGTTTTTGACCTCTCTTAGGGTCTTTACACCACTGGAAGAGCCAAAGGGCTTAAAAGTTTGCTGGAGAAGCTTAACCAAGCACAAACCTACATGGCTATCAGAAGAGCTGTGTGTGCTGCCATTACCAATGGGTGAACTATGCAAACCCTAAACACCTGAGGGCCTTGGCAGAGTGACCCCCGCCCCCCACACATCTAAGATCTCTCAGACTAGAAGAACCAATCACGACTTTGGAAAGCACTGGGAAACCTCTAAGGGGATCTGTTTATCGGTACACACATTCTTATGCTTTCTCTCCATCATCAACCACTAATCCCCCTTAGAGGAATGGAATAATTTCATAAAGTAGTTGTCAGCTGAACACTAGGCCGCTTACCTCAACATTATACCCAGTCCTGGATGATCTGATTCTGGGCCACAGCCTTTGTAGGAATTGGGGGAAACGAGATTTCCCTGTGAAGATACCATGTTTTGCCTTTCTGCTGGACAGTAAATACTATAGTGTACAATGCCTACCCGTTTAGCAAAGGGTTCAGCTACTCCTTGGTTCCACTGTGAAACAGGTCAATATATATGCAACTCAGTTAAGATCTAACCATAACTTCAGGGTAGAAGCTGGCTCTCTCCTTACTTAAAACTTGCTTTCTCTGCTGAGGCTTCACCTCTCCCTACCTCCCAATTTCTCTCCTAGATATGAGTTAAAAAATAGTATCCTGATGGTTGGTTAGTAACATGAGTAAGAATTAGAACTGATGTCATTTACTGATTTTAGAGAAAGAACTTGCCCTTAAGTATTCTAACCTTTTGGTGAAGGTTTCCACTTAGGAAAAAAGGTGTCAAACAACCCTGTTGTTTTTTGTTTTTTTTGGTTTTGTATCTTCTTTATTATTACACCAAATAAAAGCTGGGAATTCCAAGGTCCCATTTCAGTTACTGTCTAACCTTATAGAAAATTTGATTTTTATCCTTGAATTCTCCCTTCTGCCCCTCATGGATCCTTGGTCTTAATTATCATGGAAACATCTAATTCTCCCAATTATTCCATGGCTTTTGCTGTGATTGTTCGGAGATTTCAGTTGAGACTTGTTTTAAAAGACCTGGAGAGCTGACTGGTTCATAATACATTGGAATAGTTGGATCCAAACTAATAAGAATAAGCTGTACAGAAATCAGTGCTCAATATATGTTGTATAAATTTGTTGAAATCTTTTGGATGTGAACGTGTTACTTCAAGTGGCTTATATTAAGATTCTTTCAGACTTACTTGGGTGTTAAAGCAAACCCAGATGTGTATTTTTTGTTACAGAGCTCTGCTTTATAATTTTGTAATAAAGTTTCAATATAGATGCCTGTCCAATCTGGTGTGAAGATGCCAGAGGTCTGATAAACCACAGGCTGATCCCAGGCCATGAGCACACAGGCATGTTCTGAAGAGACTGCATTCTATCTGGAGATGCTTGGGCTATGCGGCCTTGATCAAGATATCCCTGTTCAACAGACAAGGAAACTGAAGCTTAGTGGTGGTGTGACTTGTTCAAGATCTCACAACTAGTATGTGGGAGAGGCCATGGAACAGCCTTAGAAGAGAGTGAGAGCTGAGTAGAGAAAGGACCAATCCTAAAACTAAATAGAAGCAGCACCAAGTGAGTTCAGACACTGATGCTGATTTGGTAGAGATGGGCCTTAAAGATGTGGGTAGAAGGGGATCTGAGGATAGCCAGTGTGCCTGTTAAGTCTTCAGGCGACCCTGGGAGATGGATGGTAGCTTTTGGATACAGCTGTGGTACTTGGAGTGCGGCTCAGAGGTTGGCCCATCCTCAGGGGCAGACTGCTGTGTGTGCACAGGCCTATACACACCTTCCTGACCAGGTGCCCAGGGGAGGGGGCTCCTGAGACTGCAGCCTTTGGGAAAACTAGGTTATGTGCAGATCTGCTGTGTGACTGAGGAAAGAGGAAGGAATCTTGCCCAAAGGGTGTAAAGGCTTGAGGCTGAGCCACAGCACTTTGTCCTCATTCTTCTGGGCCGCTGACCACATGAGGGCCCAGGATGACGTCTTGTTTGCTACCAGCCAGAAGCATGTAAACCAAGGCCCAAAGGAGGGCAGGCCTCCAACATTCTGGGGAGGTTTAAGATGATGCTGCTAAGGATCTGTGAAAAATACATGAAAGGATATGAAAATATATATACAGTATAATCTCAGCTGTGAAGAAAAATCGTGTGTCAGAAAGACTGGAAGGAAACAGACAAAACACCTTCAATAGTGAATTACCACCCGAGAAGGCAGGAAGGGCCAAAGGACCAAGCTCGGTACTGATATGATCCCCTCCAGCTGGCGGGGGCCCCTTTACTGTGAGGGTGCACCCTGAGTGTAAGCGACCAGTAAAGGCAGGTGGGGCTGAGTCTAGGTCAGCCAGGCTGAAGGGCAGTGTCAGTGTCCTTTGGCAGAATCCTAAGGGGAGAGCCTTGTTCTGCTGCCCTGTCCAGCTGCTTGGCCTGAGGAGCCTGGAGAGGGGGGTGGAAATTTATGTAGGTCAGTGCTGAAAGGAGGAGCAGCTTTTGTCACCACAGAGCATAGAATAAAAGAGTGTCTTATTCTTGATACTGAAGCCAGACTGAATGGTGCCTATTCAAAAACAGCAAATGGCCTGGGCTAGCATCAAGGCAGTACCTCCCCCTCCTGCCCCTTCCTCCCAACACATTTTAACCAGCAGGTGGAAACCCAGGCAGCCAGGTTAAAGATGGCTTCCCAGCTGACTGGCAAGCAGCCTCCCAGCAGAGTATGACCTTAGCTGACCACACTGGAGGAGAGCTGGGGGGAGGCAGTGGTCCTCAATCTTACAGGCCCAGATACTCAAGTATGTTCCAGAGGTTGAATCACGTTAACCTAACTCACAGGGGAAGGACAAACAAACAAGCCTGCTAATTTGTTGATAATAAGAGAAAAGAGAACCTCACCCTCAGGAGTCAGCAGAACTGAGAACACGGAAGTCAGTCTATAACCAGACGGCAACCTGACAAGGCTGCACTCAGACCAGAATGTGAGCTGTACCGTGCAGACGTGAGGCTGTAGAAGTGGTCTGACAGTTCTGACATTAATGGCCAGCACGCCCCAACCCTGGGTAGGGTTTGGACATGCATGCCAATGTTGATTTTCCTAGTAGATAGCTGTGCGCCAACCTCTGTGCTAAGTGCTTCATATAATGGACCTTGAGTGCACTTACTCTTTACAGCAACCCTGTGATTTAGGCACAATTCCTATCCCCGTTCCTCTTGGAGGAATGGAAGCTCAGATGTTAACTTGCCTGAGGTTACAGCTGTTAAGTTTCGGGGCTTGGATTTGAACCAGGTCTGTTTACACCCACAGTGTCCAATGTCACATGTGACCATTTAGAGTCGAATTAAAATGAAAACTCCCTTTTCTCAGTTGTTAGCCACCTTTCAAGTGCTCAGCAGCTGAATGTGGTTGTCTCCTATCAGCCAGCGGAGATTTACATTGCCACAAAGAGTTCTGTGGACCAGCACTCATCTATACTCAACTGCTTTTTATTCAAATAGATCGGCCTTGGCGATCTGTTACAAAGAACAGGAGCCGTTCTTTGTAAGCAGCCTGTGTAGATTTGTTCTCAGGTGGTTTTTCTCTTAAAGAGCAGTCTTGTTTCTGATTTTGGGGAGGCAGAGCCTCCTGGAGCCCCATATCCCCCAGAGGAATAGCCCAAACAACCTCCCTTTTCTTCATAAAGGCCCCATTTTTCCTACCTGATCCTGGTTCCCTCCCTTCAAACCGGGGCCCATACTCTGCAATAGGAGAACACAGAGAATTAAGTCATAAAATTAATTTTTTCTTCTTTCAAATGAGGCTTCATTCCTGGCAAAACAGGCCAGGCTGAATACAAGTTTTGCCAAATAGCATTTCTGAGGGCAGCCTTTTAAATACAACTTTAAAATGAGCCTGGAAGCAAAAGGGGCAGCAGGCAAGGAGGGGAGAAGACTGCCACCAGGACTGGCTTTGTGGACAGCGCGTCAACAGCTAGAATTTCACTCCTTAGTTGCTCGGGAAATTACAGGGGGTGTACAGGGGGAAAAGGACAGAGATAACTGCAAGATATTTTATTTATTAAAAAAAAAAAAGCTTTTTTAAAGACGACAAAACCAGCACCCAGATCTGAAAGACCTATGTAAACCAGCAAGAGAAACTGATGTCACTGGTGGCACCCATGGCAACTAACCCCTGGTCGGGAAGAGACCATGTGCGGTTGGTGGGTTTTGGAAGATGCACAGCTTGGAGAAGCAAGCCCGTGCCCGCCCTGTGCTGCCCCTGGCCTGCGTGTCCCAGCCAAAGACCAGTCCAGTGGTGTGGTGGGGAAGAGGATGGCGTGAGGGAGAGGGAAGCCAGCAGGCCTAGCAGGGAGCTACTAGTCTCCGTTTCCGGATACATGCCCAAATCCACTCTGGGGAGACCTGCTGGGCCTCAGGGTTCTTGTCCCTGCTACCCAGCACATGTGTGGCTGAAGCCATGTCAAATTCCTGCACCACGTCCCCATCGAATGCCACAAAGTAGCGTCTGAGACGGCTGAAGTCTGGTGTGGAGGGCGGCAGGTAGAGCCGCACCCCAGTGAAGATGTCCAGCAGCACCTGCAAATGCACAGGGGTCAGAAGTGGGGCCGGACCTGTGCCGGGGGAAGATGGGTCTCCATCCACACGAGTCCAGGACACAGAACACAGAGGTTAGAACAGGAGGCAGAGACAGAGGGAGCCTAGCGGTCAGGACACAAGCAGAGTTTACTGGAGAAAAGGCACAGGCATCAAGACCCCCATCCTCCACCCACTCCAGATTATGCAGGACTGACATGTCGCTCCATCCCTGCCTGGAGGAAAAGGAGGGAGCAAGGGTAGGTCCCAACACTGGGGACCTGGAGAAGGGAAAAGTACGTGTCTCTAAGAACCATCCAGTGGCTGGTGGGCAGGGCCAGTGGCTCTCAGATTCAGTGATGTTGCTGGATCAAGCGGTCTCCCGTGCACAACTAGCTGGCCTGGGGGAGCTGAGAGCCCCGCTCAGTACTGTGGAGGGATTCAAGGGCTTTAGAGGGAAGATGGGTGAGGTGCCACAGGTCTGCTGGGGACTGGGTTCAGGGCCTGCGCTGCGAGACTTCTGTGCTTACTCTTGGCGGGGGGTGGGGTGTGGGGTGGTGCAGTCACACTGTACGGTGATCGAATGTTTGTCTATCTGCCCTTTGGGTCATCAGCTCCTCCCAGGGCGGAGCCTAGGTACTGGCCTCAGGAGGTGCTTGCTAGCTGTTGTCAAACCAAAGACTGACAAAGGAGTACAAAAGGGAAAAGGGTCCTTAGGTGGGAGGACAGTCACCAAGCCAGTGCCCTCTCCCCATCCTGCCTGGCTGGCCCTGCTCTCTCCCGGTGCACAAATTCACACTGCTGCACTCCCACACCCAGACTGGGCTTTCTCCCCTTTAATGTAATTTGTGACTTGGGACCAACAGCTGGGTGGGTCCCTGCAGCCTCTCTTGGCTAGGCTGGGCTGTTCTATCGCCTGCCTGCTGGCACAGCTCTCCTTCCTCTCTGCTCGCTGGGTGGCGGCCTCTGCAAGGCAACAAGAAGGCACCGGGTGGAACAGTGGCACTGCTGGCCCTGCCCGTGACGGAGGAGCAGCTGCAGGTGGGGAGGGGATTTGGCCATTAGTCCCGAAAACACCTTTCTTCATCTCAAAGTTCATGTGCGGAGGGTTGGGAACGTGAGGCCCTGGGCCAAAGCAGCCCCTTGTGCCTGCCATTCTTGCCCTCACCTTTGTTTGGCATGGGGTCTCATCAGGAGCCTTCCGCTTCTCCCCCGTTTTCAAGGGAGAAGACTCTGTGACCAGCTTCTGTCCCCCTTTCACAGGGGATGGCTTTGCAGTGGGCTTGCTGCCTACAGGAGAGAGCTCAGGATCAGAACTAAGAAGAGGGTAAGGGGAGCTGATAATGGTCCCTGAATTCAGGGCAGCAAAGAGAAGGACCAGGCCCGTCCCCTGCTGTGAGCGTGGGCGAGATGGGAGGGAAGAACTGCAAGCTAAGCCCCTGAGCTCAGAGGTGGCTTGTCCTCGGATCAGTTGGCTCTCCCAGGTGCTGTCATTTACTGAGCAGATGGAGGGTGCCCAGCAGAAGGGCTTCTGGCCCATGGCTGGACACACAATAGGAATGCAGTGAGCGTCAGCTGCGGTGGACAGAACCACATATCTCAGAGCTGGAGAGGGGGACTGGGTCCCTGTCCTTCCCTCTCTGCCCTCACACCACCCTCTCCATCACCCCAGCCCCTCCTTTCTCCTTACCGCCTTTGCTGTTGGGGCTACTCAGCTTCCCTCCCGCCTTCTTGGCACTAGTGGAGGGCTGCTTGGGGGAGGCTCTGGGGGCCTTGCACGACACAGCAGGCCCCGAGGTGCCCTCATTCTCTCCATTGCTGCCCCCTGTGGTGGAGCTCCCCTCATCTCCGGCCACTACAGTGAAGTCCGCCTTCTCCTTGGACAGCTGGTACAGTTCCTGAGGGGGAGGGAGAAGGGCGGGTGGTATCATTCCAGGCCTTGGCCTCAGAGGTGCTCTGTGTGGTGTGTTTCAGCACGTGGCTGGGGAACAAAGGGGAGAAACACAAACAGCAGGGAAAAGCAGCTGGCTTCCTTGGTGCTTTTCTAAACTTTGGCCCTGTTTCTTGAGTAATTAGTGCAAATCACTGTTCTCCGTGCTCCAGTTCTTATCAGCAACACAGAGACTACAGCCTGGGGCCAGGCCCTCAGCAGTGCCCAGGCTGCTCCGTGGGCCTGATAAAGGCAGGGCTCTCGACTTGGCACTGTGGGCGGAGGCCTAGTGCTGCTGCCCCTGGCCCTCCAACAGTTTGGTCTCCCTTCCTGCCTTGCCCTGTCTCGGTGGAATGGGAGAAAGAAGACACAGGAGGTGAGAAGAGGCCAGACGCTCAAGGTTCCAAGGCTGGGATCGTGGGGTAGAGGATACACATGCCACCTAAGAGCCAGCACCTTGAGCTGGGGGAGGTTAGTGGCAGATTTCCAGTCCTTATCTTCACGGATTCGGGTGCAGCGAGGGAATCGGATGGAGATCCCATCGGCGGTGTGAGCCTCAGATTTGGAGAACTCGGCCCCTGTGATCTCCCACACGGCAGCTTTCTGTCAGGAGTAAGTCAGGCCACTCACTGGTTGAGAAGAAAAAAACACCTTCCAACCAGCTAGAGGCAATACAGAGCACTTAAAACCACAAAAGCGCTGGCTCACAGGTGGAGACGGGTTCTAGTCCCACTGTTGCTGCTGAGGCTGTGTGACTTTAGGGAAGTCCTGTCTCTTCTCTGGGCCTCGCTTTCTCTGTCAGTGCAAGAAGGGACTAGGCCTTCCTGGTCACTTCTAGAGCAGGCTCTCTGTGACTAGGGGATGGGTAATCTCTGCCTCTTGCTATTGAGGATGATTTCTCAGTGTTGACTGGCCACCCCCGCACCTGTCATCACTTGGCTGAACAGTCCAGAACCCCATCCCTGGGTGGACTGTCAGTTAGGCTGAGAAGGCATCTTTGTATCACTAGAGAATGTGCACGCTCATTCTGTGGGCTGGAGGACCCAGGCCACAGGGCTGATACCTTTGGGTCTGGGACGATGAAGTCAGGATAGTAGATCTTATTGATTTTCAGCCAGCTGGGTATCTTGCTGGGATCCTGGAGGAGAGAAGATGTTATCCTGGACTGTTCCCAAGCCAAAACAAGACTTACACCCCCTCTTGGTCACGGGCTTGTGGGAAGAGGTGACTTATCACAAAAGGCTGACCCTCACCCGATGGGAGCCTCCCTGCCCAGACAGGGTGTGGCCTAGAGGGCACGCAGGCCAGTTTCCACAAGGTGGGGACTTAGAGACTTTGAAGGCCTAACACTGCTCCCATGGCCAAGCAGCGGCTCGCCTTTCTGTGGAGACAGACAAACGATACCTGCAGTCCCCAGTGCAGCCCCTCAGTAGCGATGGCCGGTCCAGAGGCCGGGGCCAGCTGGGACCCTTCCTCACCTTGCTGATCTTCACCATGTCCAGTTCCTTCTGCAGGCGGGCGAGCGTTGCATCATCATGGCCTCCTGAACACTTGGTGACTGTGCACCACTTCTGGCTGCTTGGGTCGTAGCAGCCCATGAGGAAGATGGACATCATGCCACCTAGGAGGGGGGAAGGGCTAAGTTGTGGGTGGAGGGAGCCATCTCTGCCAGCCCCACAGGCCCAGGGAGAGGCAGCCTGCTGGAGAGGGAAGGGCCGGGGCCTTGGCATCAGAGCGCCAGGTCACCTCTGGGATGTACCTCTTCCTAGCTATACAAGTTTCACATGTAAGAGCCCCAGTTTCCTCCTCAGTAAACTAGGGATAATCAAACATAACTTGCTGGGCTCTGGTGAGAAGTAAAAGGAACTGGAATTGAATAGTGCCTGGCATGTAGCAGACTGCCCGACAGTTCTGGTTCCTCAGACCCCAGCTTCCCCTCCAGTCAGGAAATTCTGAGGTTCCCTGAGGAGAAAGCTGCCAGACCCCGGAGAAATACTTGGAGGTGAACTTCTTGGTGCCAGGCTAGAAGAGGGTATTCTTGCCTGACCTCTCCCTGCCCGAGTCTGTAGCTCTCAGATGTCCCTGCCTGAGGTGACATGGGCCAGCTTGGGGCCCCTGAACCCAGAACTCTGGAAGTCATGACTGGCCATGCTGGCAGATCAAGCCAATAAAAAGGCCAGCCTGTACCTTGAGTGGAGCCTCTCAAAGAAAGACCATTCCAGGGGCCAGAGGCCTCCCTGACCTTTGCTCCCTTGCCCATAGAAGGCCCCAAGGACCACCAGGTCAGCTGTGTCAGCCATGGCCCCCTCGTTCAAATAGTCTTTCTTCACTTTCAGCCAATGCCGCTTTCCAGGCTCATATGTACCCTAAGGGGAAACAAGAGAGACGACGAACTAGAATGGAGACTCCACGAGGGTGGGAGTTACCTCTTAGCTGACACACCGGTTCTGTTGCAGTGCCCCGCCCGCTCTGGGGAAGAGCCCTTGGACCCCAGGCACTAAGGGGCTAGACACAGACCCATCCTCTGGATCCAGAACAGACCTGTCCGAACCCCAGACAGGCCCCCCTCAGCACCCACCCCAACCACCTTAGGCCGCCACTGCCATCTCCTGGCCAGGGCTGGAAAGGCTTGGGGAGAGCTTAGAGCTGGCAGGCGAAAGCCGAAGATGTGACCGAAAGCCAAAGATGTGACTGTTTACCTTCACGTCCTTCAGCACCAGCCCTTCCAACCCTTCTCGGATCACCCGGTTTATCATGTCGGCCAAGTCTGCAGCTTTCTGAGGGGTAACAGGAGAGATGTCGAGGTTGGTGTGAGACTAGAGAGTGTGCTGTGGGAGTGAGGTATGAGTTGTTCCTTTTGGCACACTAGTTAAGTACTCACTTGAATATAAGGAACAAAAGGCTTGCAAAACAGGGACCCTCCCAACCAGAGAGCCACTGTGGCTTTGAGACACAGGGAGCCACCCAGGAAGCTGTTTCACACCCCGCCCTCCTAGGTGGAGGTAGTGGGCCACCTACGCACATCAGCAGACTCATTCTCCCAGTCACACCTGGCCCAAGGGGTTGTCTGCCCTGCTTTCAGACCACCAGGATGCTGCCCAGGCGGGTGGGGTCTTTGCTCACCGTGACTCTCTTCATTTCTGAGAACATGATCCGGTTGGGAATTTCAACCATGTTATCATGAAGAAACTTCCGCCGCTCACACAGAGGCCTGGGGGACAGGACAGGAGAGCTGAGGTCAGGCCAGGATGCCCCCCTCATTAGAAGTTCTGAGGAGGGAAGAGACCCAATGATAAACTGCTGCTTCCTGAGGGTCTGCCGTGGTTTAAAGGCCTCGTGTCCTGCCAAGGGCTCCAAGGGCTGCACTGTGACCAAGGATGGACAACTGTGAGCTGTGGCGTAGAGCTACTTCATTGTTGTACTTCCTGTTTCTACTTCACCGAGCCCAGGAGAACTGGCCTCTGGCCCAAACAGACTGTATAAACTCTGGTCCCACTTGAAAAATGACTCTGAGTCTCTTGTTCATCCCCTGCACCCTGCCTCACCCCAGGCCCAAGGTTGGCTGGTTCTTGGGTCAGCGGGCTGACAGGCTTCAGGACCTGAAGCCCAGATCCCAACTCCAACCCACAGCCATTCTTTCTCTCTTCTACTTCCTTCCCCTTGCTCACTCGAGGAGGAGGGCTGCTGTGGGAGGCGTGGGGGCAGAGACACATTTCTAAGCACGGAGGGCCCATACTGGTTCCTCGGGCCTCTGAATTTGGATGCAGCTGAGTCAAGACGCTAGTTCTCCCTAAAACAGTCCCACCCACAGTGCCCCTCCAATCATGAGTTTCCTGCTGTCGGCCTCTTCCGAAAGCAAAAGCTCTCAGCTGAAAACCATCTGCCCGCCTCCTTGCGGGGACTGTTGGAGAAATCAACTGAAACCTTACTTTGCTCACAGTCTATTTCTCGTCAACAGTCCATTTTGCTGTAGCAGAGAAACTCCCCCGGGGGTTTGGGTTCTCTCTGAGGCCGAGGCTCTCAGGGATGGGATCTAGTCCACACGTCAGCTCCTCTTAACACGGAACAGGGACTTAACTGCGTAGCAAGTACGCTACCTCTCAGCTCCCTCCGCCGCTGCCCAGCTCCCTGGCACCAAGAGGCACATGCTCCAGCCCCTTCCCCCCTCCTTTCCAATGTAAACCCCCCACCTCCCCAACCAAGAACCGAAAAGGGATTCCTCACCTGTCCATCAAGCTGACCTCATTGAAGTAAATACAATCAAAAACAAACAGGCAGACATTAGCATCCTGGAAGGCAGCTTTCTGGAAGGGAAAATGAGGCAGTAGGTAGATGAGGGACAAAAATAAGAGGGCATGAAAAATGGGGAGTACCAGTCCACCTCTGGAGACCCTCTGAAGCACCTGAAAGAAAAGTCCTATTTGTGCTTTGAAGCCCCTGGGCCGTAAGGGCACTTAGCAGATGGTCCTGAATGAAACCGACCCAATTATAAGTTAGTTCCCAAGACTAGCTCCTTTTTATGCAAGAAAACAAAAACAAAACACATCTAAACTCAGGACTAAGTTCAGAAACAGTTCAGAAATGAAAAATAAGCCCAACCCAAAGTAAGTGATACATTCCTCCCCATTTAGGCCGCTAGCACATACACATACATGCACACGACACGCACAGTCATCCTTGCACATTTGGCCCTGAGTCAGTACCTTGTGCACTCCCAGAGTCCCAAAGGGCAGTGGTTTGCCTGTCTTGTTGTCAATCAGGAGCACCTCAGAGTCCAAGATCATGCTGTGGCCTCCAGGGAACGCCTGGGGGATGTAGTCCTTAAAGTGGGCCACCTGGAGACGGAAGGGCCACTCAGGTGAGGAAGGACCTAAAGCAGGGCCACCGACAGCAAAACCCAGGCCCCAGAAAGAACAGAGAACACCAACGTGTGGAAGCCCAGATCATGTGCAGAACATAGATCTTGTCAACTACCTAGACAAGAGGAATAGGGTAAGTTTCAGGACCTCTGTCCAGACCCAGGTAGCGGGTGGCTCATGCTGTGTCACTTTCTATGCGCTGCAGAGAAGGAGAGTTTGGAGGAAAAAGGAAGAAAGAGACAGAGAATCTGTAGGGGAGGAGGTGGAGCAGACAAACATGGAAGGGAGGGAGGAAAGGCAGGCAGGCAGAGATCTGTGGGGGAGCACAGACTGGTGGGATAAAATGTAGAAAGGAAAAAATGAACCCCCTCAGGAGCAGCAAGGAAACATGAGTCTTCTCTGAGTGGGAGCTCTGAACCCACAGCCATCTTCAGAATGAGTAAGAAAGGAGGTTTGGAACTGCATTTTTTCCTGATAAAGGCAGAGCCCTAGTCTGAAAGTTCCAGACAAGGAGAGGTCCCACTGTAACCCATGGCAGCCCCGGCCAAGTGATGCCAGCAATGAGGTCCAGAGAGCATGACTGGGGTCCAACCCCTGGGCAGGCACACAGTCCACCATCACCTGTGAGGCTTGCAGTGGGACAGGAAAGGGCTGCACATCATCCCACTCGACCGAACCAAAAGCACCAGGGAGACCAGGATGAACGAACCTCTGGGAAGGGAGGGCAGCAAAAGGGCTCTAATTCTGGAAAGCTGTGCTCAAACTTCTTCCTGGTAACAGGAGAGCTTCCCCAGCAGTTTTACTGTGCCCCACAGAGCAAGCGAGCCTGCACTAGTGCTCCAGGGGGTGGCCCTGCTTAGCTCTCCTCTGGAACCCTGGAAATAAAGGGCCTGACTGCACCATGCTCCAGCAGTAAGGCAAGGCTGAGGTAAGGATGGGAGCCATATACTACCTGCCCGGCCCCACTGGGGCCATCAGAGATGGAGTCTGAGCTGGGACAGAAGCAGCTGCAAGCACAGGAAGTCCATTGCCTCACAAGCTACCCAGGCCAGATGTTCCAGCTGCTGTTCCCTGAAGACCCCCCCAAAGGCTCGCAGAGGCCCTGGAGCTGAGAAGGGCTGCGGAGGGAGGTTCTCGATGTTGCCTGATGAAGGGCAGGAGTCTGGGTTCCCAGATGTCTCCAAGGGATTTTGTTTACGTCAGAACGTAAGCTTCCAGAGGGCCAGAATTTTTGTCCATTTTGTTTACTGCTGTCCATCCACTACCCAGAACAGTGCCTAGTACAGACTATGCACTTGATAAATATTTGCTGAACAAATTCATGAAGGACAGCCCAACGGTTCTTTGCACAGGAGCTGTAATTTAGCTCAGGGAGGTACACACAGGACATGGAAACGCAAAAGACAAGTGCTGGAGAACACTCATCAGCTGAGCTCACTGTCCTGCCGCCGCCACGGGCCAGGGAAGCATCACTGCCCTTGGGGCTCCGTGCTGACTATCCCGAGTCTGGGCTCTTGGGCTGTCCCTACTGGGCAGCCCCTCATTATTAGAAGGCTCCAAAAATGAATAAATGAATTCATTCAACAAATACAGAACAAACCCTATTGTGTACCAGGGCTGGAATGGCTATGGAACTCTGGCCCTGAGATTCTTAGAGGCAGGAAAGGAAAGACAGTCCCAGTAGAAAGGCAAGGCCACATACCTTGTGAGGCAGGACAGGCTTGAGACTGCGGCTGAAGTAGCTGAAGTGGTCCCCGTTCTTATGCACCTGGACTCGCTCCCCATCGTACTTGATCTCAGAGAACATGCCATTAGGACACTTCTTCATCGCATACTCGATGGACTTGCAGGCCTCCGCCTTGGGGTGGGGAAAGAAAAGCCAGAGACTTACAGGGTGCTCTTCCAATGAGGGGCTCTCAGCAGAGACAGCCCCAGGACCCAGGGCCCAGGGCCCAGGGCCTGATTGCCAGAGCACACCCTCAGGGCAGGCCAGTGCAAAGGTGATGGGAACGGACAAGGCCGGCCAGTATCACATGCTGACTATAATGCATCAGTGGAGTCGACGTAAGAACTTGCATTTTGAGGAATATAAGTGCAATTCATTGTAGAGCAAATAAAATTTCACAGAAACAGCATTTCATTTTTGGGTCCATAATTTAGGGTCTTGCAGGGCCTCTGTCTCATTATTAAACATATCACTTATCTCAGCACAGGAGGTGTGCAGAGGTAAGACTGGAGAGTGCAGGTGACAGTAAGGCTGCAGAGGGCAGTGATCAAGGCTCCCTAGGACAGGACACGACACAGGAGTGCCGACTCACATACCTGTGCCATCCTGACTCACACAGCAATGGCTACCATTTTGGGGGTATTTATGTGTCAGATTATATCCTTCAGTTCTTTTCCTCCTCGATGTGATAGCTTATGTGATAGATATTGTTGTTTTCATTTTATGGATGAGAAAGCTCAAGTTCAAAGAGATTAAGTACTTACTTACAGTTACATAGCTAGTAAATGGAGGAATGAGGTTTGAATCCAGGCCCAACTCCAAAGCCTGTGTGGTTAGCCACTACACTACATGACTGCCACTCTTCAAATGACAGGCTGTGGAAGAGACTCCAGAAGGAATTCTTACAAAAGTCAGAAAGGTCACGACTGCAGGTGACCAGGGTCCTGTCCTGGGCACGGAGAGCTCACTATTTTGGTGCTGGCTGTCCTACATTCCCAGGAGGGAGAGAACACTTCCCTACCCCAAACACAGAACCCTAAACCAAGGCTTTGATGTAGCACACAAGACAATTTCATAGAAAGCACTGCACACCACTGGAACAGCCCAAAGGGTCTCACAGGAGGCACGCCAACATACGTGGAGAGTCTTGTTGTACAGGAAAACCAATGCCAGGAAGGAAGTCCCATTTCTCAGGAAAGGGGATTCATGAGCAGAGGCCCAAGATGATCTCTGTCAGGGCTGGTCTTCATTCCTTAAGATTCCTCTTTCCAGAAGAAAAGGAAGCCCAAGTCACCCTGTCGTAGGAAGCCTGGCTCTGCCACTCTCACAGCTATTTTGGGGCTGATCACAGAACCTCAGGAGTTACATAATATACCCACCTGTCTTCAGGAAAGATGAAACCACTAAACCACTGTAGGTAGATGCTTCCGAGGGTTTCATACGTCATTCACACAAGGAAACTAAAGACCCAGAGAGGCTAAGTAACTTACCCAAGATTCTAGAGCGTGCCGGTGGCAGAGCTGGGCCTGGAGTTCAGGTATTCCACTAGATCATGCCGTCTTCTCCTTTGCCTTCACTTCCCCACTGAGAATACCCCTCTGCCTCGCCACTCTTCCTTCCCTAAACTCCGCGAGGCAACTTTCAAGGGCTGGCACCCTCATACCCTTCTAGATCTTACACGGAACAGCATACTTGGCGAGGAAGAGAGCAGGGCCAGAGCAGCATCCTTACCAGCATGGGCTGCACCGGGGTCATGAGCGAGGCCTGGACACTCAGAGCCCGTCTCTGGCCGGGCTCCTTCTCCACCTCCTGCTCGTTGCGGAGGACCCGCTCCACCACGTCTTGCAGGTTGCGTGAGGCTTTGAAGGCTTCATAGGCATTGGGGTCAAGGGCATCTAACCTGCCAAGGGGGACAGGAGCAAGGAAACAAAAACCAGTGCCTTTGACCTTATTGATTAGGATAGCAGTCTGTCTTCTAGAGAAGAGGGAGCCTAACATATGGGGGAGTGGTTATGTTTTATTGTCTAAAGATTTTCACAGAAAAAAAAGCTCTCAGAAAACTCAGCTCTTTGGCGATGCTGTGCCTACAGGATGCTGCCTTAGCAAAGAGGGGGCTGGAGTGGACAAGAAACTCACATTACACTTATTGAACATATTCCATACTTTCAATTGTAACAACGCTGTGAGAAAGGTACTGTTACCTCCACTTTACTTATGAGAAAATGGAGGCTGAGCTAGGTCAAGTGATGGATCCTAGAGGAAGGAAGAAGGTAGAATCAGGATTCAAATCCAGATTGGGACTCTGAAGTCCTGACAGCAGCAGGCAACAAAGGGAACTGGCAGCTTAGGCTGTCAGAGGGCCTGGTACTTACACGTGTTTTGCACCTGAGTTCATCTTCAGATCATGTTTGATCAACCTGATGATGCACTTAAGGTCATTGGCTGTACACCTAGGAGGATAAGGCACATTCGACTTGGTGTCTGAAGAGCTCTGGACCCCTAAACCTTCCTCACCTGGCGATTCCACCTCCCCAGGCCCATCCCCACTGGGCAGCTCCCCTACCTGGAGGCGATGTCCTGCAGGGCCTGTTGCTGCTCATCCTCCTTGGTGAGCTTGGAGAGCTGCAGGAGGAATTCGTCCACCTCCTGGATAGTAAGGAGGCTCTTGGCAGCTGGGGGGAAAGACTTGCTCTGCTCAAAGAAGACTCTGATTGTCTCTGACACGTCACCCTGTCTCCAAAAACCAAAATGCCACTGCTGCAACCCGACTGGCCAAGTGTATACCCCAAGCTCCCAGGACTGAAGGTGAATCAGAGATTTCAATCATCATTCCTGTCCTCAACTCACACATATTGACCTCACTTCTTAGAGAATCTGCCCCACCCACAGCTCCTGGAAAGGGGACCTCCATCCACCACAGGATCTGGTCACGTGGCTTAGCTGAGAAATGGCCCAAGAACTAATCCAGGGCTGAGCCAATGTGATTCCTGTTGGATCGATCTCTCATGGCTTAGCAATAGGATTTCAGTCCCCAGAACCTTGTGAAACTAACAGCTGTAGCCTCGCCTATCAGCTCCCCTCAGAAAAGAAGCTTGCTCAAACGGGTTTCAGTTTCCTAATCCAGTATGTGCCCTAACCAGAAAAAAGAGGTTACAAGTGCTTGGCTTGGCAGAACCCCACTTGGAACGTCGCCTACCCTCCCCGTCCTCTGACCTGCTCTAGGTCTCGTGCCATGTCATCTGGGTTGCAGTTAAAAATGCGGCTGAAAAGCTTCACAATCTGCTTATCATTCAAGTTGTAAACACTTTTAATAACACCCGGCAGCAGCAGCTTCACTGTTAGGTACACGTCACCATGGAAACCATCTGGAGACAGAAGAAAGGAACCCTTCTTGAGAAATGGAGCTTAAATAAACAAATACATAAACTCAAGGAAGCAAAAGATGCCTACATTGCTGCCTGTGCTGCCACCGTACCCTGTACATTTCACTATAGTAGTAGACGCCACAGCGTTTGGCGGCTGGCAGTTTACGTGTCTGCCTCCCCTTTAGTCCCGGGATGAACTCCTGCAGGGCAGAGCCATGACTTTCACTTCAGTGTCCCCAGTGAGGAGCACATTACAGATGCCAATGATGATTTGTTAGATGAACGAAAGAAACAAGAGTTGGAAGATTCTATTCCAAGCTGTGCATGTGGTTCACAAAAACCTAATCAAACATGCAGGACAGTGAATTTTCCTCTTGGTCAAATGGGATTGGTTCTTCTGGTTATTCTGGGGCAGAATAAGGGCAGAAAAAGAAAGACGCCAATACGCTCTGAGCAGAACTGGCTACTTTGCAGGGCCCAGCACAAAATGAAAATGCAGGGCTCTTTGTTCAAAATTAAGAATTTCAAGATGGCAACAGAAAAGCATCAAACCAAGCATGGGACCCTGTGCAACTGTACAGCTCACATGCCCACGAAGCCGGCTGGCCACGGCTCTGAACTCCTCAGAGGAAAAGCCCATCAAGGCTCCTCTAGGCCCCACCTCCTGCCGAGCCTTTCCGAAGGAAGTCCTGGATGATCTGGGTCTTTGTGTTGTAGCTGGGATTTTCAGCCACCATGGCACACAACTTCCGAAACTCACGCAGCAGACAGTCCTTATGCTTGGGGTCACACTTGCTTGAGGACAGACTTCTCTTAGGGGTAGGTCTTGAGTGGGCTTCCCCAGAGTTGTTGGGCTTGGCTGTTGGACAGAGAAAAAGGGAGAGAGAAATAGCAGAGATGATACATTTTGCCTTGCTGAGAAGGAAGAAAGGGAAATTCACAGACACTCTGCTGGTCCTCTATAGGTAGCTTCACTTAATCTCTCAAAACAGCCCTTTGGAGTAGATATCATTATACCCATCTTACAGGGATACAGGTAAAGAAATGGAGGTCAAGTAATTTCCCCAAATCTCACAGCAATTAGTGGTAAAGAAACAGTGGCCTCACACCAAAGCAGGAAATCAGCTGATGTGCATCCCTTTACATGAGTGCTTCGGAGAAGAACAAAGGCTGCCTTCATGCCGAGAGCGGTCAGCAGGATCTCAGGGCAACTGTAAGGCTGACCCCAGAAAAGTCGGATTGAGGAAGGGAGAAGAAATCGAAGGACATGTTAAGTCAATGTGAAATCACAGCTATCGCAGACTGTAAGGGCTGGAAGAAGCCTTCAGGATTATATTGTCCAACCTCTTCTTAGTGAGGAGGAGACGACGGCCTGAGAAAAGAAGACATGCCCAGCTGCTCACCACCCCCACCCACCGCCATCACCACTCTTTTCTTTCTTACTGTCAAAATAAAAGGTAGTCAGCGAGCAGGGCTTCCCTCCAGACACTCCACAGTGACCGTACAACTCTTGAGAGACCCATCTTCCCTCCTTGTGACCATTTACAAAGCAAATTTCACTCTGCAAGCTTGCAGCAGAGCCATTAGCAAGCAGGCTGCTGACGTAAGCTTCTTGCCTGGGCTTCCTACAGTATAAATCCATCCTCACCTCCGACCTGGAGTCTACAGAGGATTGCAGGGGACACAATCTCCCAAATGGCAACGTTCAGGAGAGTACAACAACAAGAACACCCCATTTCTCTCCCAAATTCCCTCCCCAGGACCAGGGCTCTTCCAGAAACATGCTGTCCTTATCATCACTTGCACTCTTCTGTATTTTTATCTTTGGCCTACCATTAAACAAAAAACTTCAGAGTTTTAAAATAATAAAAATCCCATAAAGTCAGACACCATTTCTTTGACTTTATCTCCTTTAGTCCTTGTGGGAACACTGTGGGGTAAACGGGCAGGTGTTGCCATTCCCACCTCCCAGATGAGACCACAGAGGCGAAGGGACTTGCTTCCCTAAGCTGTCAGGTGACAGTGCTGGAATCAGGACCCGGGTCTTTTGACTCAAGCCTAGGCTTCTTTCACTCACATAAAGCAAACTCCTCAAACAACTTCTGAGTCCATGTGTTTTGGCTTTAATTTTTTTTACCTGAGTCAATCACAAGAATGCCTCCAAATAAAAGAGGCAACAGGGTGAGGGGTAGAAGAGCACAGCTGTCGCAGTTATTAGAGTTCAGGGTAAATGCTAACTCCATAAGGGAGCTGCACATCGGCTCTCTCACTCATGAGACCGGCCTAGTAAAACACTTCCTAAGGGTAACTGAAGAACGAATGGAACTGAATACGTAAAAGCCGCAGCTCGATGCTGTCTGCTCCATTAGGCCACGCGTGACATCTCCTTTCTTCCACCTTTCACCTCCAGTTTGGGCAAGTTTAGGGAACCTATTCCTCAAAATTCTTTCATTACCAAAAAACAAGGAAGCAAAGGGCAGGTTATAATAAGCTCTGTCTGACCCTGGTAACTACTTCAAGGGGAAAAAGTCTTGACAAAACAAACATCTTTTTGCCGCAATAGAGACTAAAGCACACAAAGAAACGCCATACAAGTGGAGCGTTGAGAATTAGCCACACCCATCTCTGTTCACATGGAAGCAGAGTATTAATGAGACTAGACAGCACAGACCCTTCACTCTTAGCCAGAGTCCCAAATAGGATAGCAAATTAAAAGGAAGACGGTAACAGCTAATGTAGCCCTAACCTATCTTACCTGAAAAGCCAGAAAATTTCCGGGGATTCGTATTGGTGACAAACGAGGCACCTTTCACTGGAGATGTCACCTGGCCAGTGGCCGTCAGCTTAGCCTGGACAACAGCTTTCTTCTTTGGTGTGCTTGCTGCCTTAGAAGACAGATCTGTAGGACCCCAAAAGAAGGGAATGCATCCTTCAGTGAAAGACTCTGAGAAAGCTTCCAAAGAATCTATCGACCGCTCTTACAGCCTTGCTTGGCAAGTTACTACCACGGCATTACCCCCAAGGCTGGCTGCTGGCTGGCCAGGCTTTCTGAGTGCAGGTAGCAGGTAATCAAATATTGGGAGGTAGGCTGTTCTGGGGACAAAAAACCCAGTTACCCTTTTCTTCTATTAATAACTGAAATTTTCATTTCTCTCTCCACCTCTCATCCCACATATAATAATTGCCAGATCATCCGGAGGAAATCAGAAATCATACCTCAACAGATACAACTGGGGGACTTCAGCTCCATGGAACTAGCCCCAATTTACAGATGTACAAGAAAGGAAAATGCAGATGGATAACAGTGCACGTCAGCCTGGCACAGGCAGGAGGCCTTCCAGCTGCTGAGTCAGTGGACAGCGTAACTCTACCGCGTACTTCTCCTCCTTGAATGAGACAGGTCAAGAAGGACCAGAGGCGGAGCCCAGGGGCTCGGCCGGGCAGGGCGGGATGGGGAGCTCGAGAAAGGAATACACGAGTAGTTTTCTCTCCTGGAAGTCTTTGCTCTCAAAGAACAAGGATAAGGCCCCATTTCAGAACCACTGTTCGAGTCCTCCTACAGGGACAAGACCACACCTAATCAAAGATGCAAATATTACTTTCAAGATGAGGACACTGAAGGTCATAAAGGACTAACTGGATTTGAAAGCATCAGCGTAAGATTTCTAACATGCATACACATGGATATGCACGTATGTGCGCACATATATGTATCTGTCATCTGTTTTTAGTTCTGTCTGCTGAAAGGGCTTAATAGTAAAGACACCTCATGGCAACAAGGAAACGTAGCATCCAGATTTTGGTCTCTCATGCCTTCCTCCACTAATGGGAACCAGGCCTCCTCAGAGACACGGCTCATTCTAGGGCGACGGCAGGGTGCATACAAGTTGAGCGTAAGAGCAGCCTGCTACGCAGAAATGAAGGAAGTACTTTAACACATTTTTAAAAAATGATGAGGGCATCCAGGACACATAAACCAGTTTAAAAGGGCTCCCAACTGGCTAAATATGGGACAGTTTAGTACCAAATTAATAAAGTACAGTAAAATTATAAGCCACCAGGAAAAACTAGTACTCTATGAGTCCATACAGATAATAAGTTGACAGATAAAAGGGGGTGATGGTGGTACGGTACCCTAGTCTTCAAAAATGTCACTGTCATAAAAGAAAAAGACTATGGAAATGTTCCAGATCAAAGGGGGCCAAAGAGATATGACAATGAAATGCAATAGCTGATTCTAGATTGGGCTTCTATAGTGGAGGGGGAAAAAGCTGTAAAACATATTATTGGATCAATTGACAAAAGTGGAATACAGATGGTAGATTAAAGTATTATATCAAGGATACATTTACTAAAATTGATACCTGTATTATGGTCATGTTAGAGAATATTCCTATTCTTTTTTTTGAGGAAGATTAGCCCTGAGCTAACTACTGCCAGTCCTCCTCTTTTTTGCTGAGGAATCCTGGCCCTGAGCTGACATCCGTGCCCATCTTCCTCTACTTTATATGTGGGACGCCTGCCACAGCATGGCTTGCCAAGCGGTGCCATGTCCGCACCCGGGATCCGAACCAGCGAACCCTGGGCCTCCGAGAAGCAGAACGTGCCGCTGCGCCACCGGGCCAGCCCCAAGTATTCTTATTCTTGAGATATACACATTGAAGTATTTAACGGCAAAGCACTATGATGAATGCAACCTACTCTCAAACAGTTCAGGAAAGAAAACTGTGTGTGGAAGGAGAGAATAATTGAGCGCACATTGGGGGCTGGCCCGTGGCACAGTGGTTAAGTTTGCATGCTCTGCTTTGGCAGCCTGGGGTTTCACTGGTTCTGATCCGGGGCACAGACCTACACACCACTTAGCAAGCCATGCTGTGGCAGGCGTCCCAAGTATAAAACAGTGCAAGATGGGCACGGATGTTAGCTCAGGGCCAGTCTTCCTCAGCAAAAAAGAGGAGGATTGGTGGCTAACGTTAGCTCAGAGCTAATCTTCCTCAAAAAAAAAAAAAAAGAGTGCACATGAATATAAAAGACAAAATGTTAACAATAGGTAAATGTGGGTAAAGGGAATACAAGCATTCTTTGCATTATTTTTATTCTTCCAACTCTTCTGTGAGTTTGAAATTATTTCCAAATAAAAAGTTAAACAACAACAAAACTGGACTCTACTCTCCTTATCCCCTTTTCTCTCAACACTTAAGAGGAGAAAGTATTCTCTAGCACACCTGCAATGTGCTGGCTTATCTGTTCCTTCTCATTATCTTCCAGCTCTTCCCAGCCTTCCAGCTCCGTGATGTCCTCGATTTTTTTTGTGGTGGCCCGGGCCCGCTCCAGTTTCTCAAACATGCATTTGATGTGGTACCACTCTTTCATATCACCCCCAGACTCCGAGAAGGGATTGGGCACTACTTTGCCGATGCGGCACACCCCCTTCACAATCTTTTCCTTGCATTTTTTGCAGCCAGCTGTGCCACGCTTGGCATAGTCCACACAGAACCGCTGCTCAGCCATCTCACAGGGGCCACTGCAGAGTCCCACATGCGACCCTGGCAAGGAAACAAAGCAGGTGGCACACGGTCTTAGACTGCCTTCCTGGAATGACAGAAATGGCTTTCTTCTGTGGAGGAGGCAGCGCCCATGAAGCAGGTCTGTTTCTGACCACTGGCTGAACTGTCTTGTGTCAGGCCAGTGATGTTCTCGGAACAGGCAGGGTTCTCTTCGGCTGAGGGCACGGAAGACTGGTGGGAAGAGGATCTTGAAAGCCAGAGTCATACAGCTGCATGAAAGGGTGAGAGTCAGAAAAAGTGAGATGTAAACAAGGAGCTGGGCTCCCAGTCTTCTCAAAGACCGAAGTCCTAATACAGCCCATGCTGACTAACCAAACGCTTACCAAAGTATTAAAGATTTCTTGCCTACAGGATGGAGAAGAGTTCCTATATAGGGAAATTCAGTTTGCAAAGGAGTGTTCAAGGATCTAATGTACACGTGTATATCTAGTAAATCACAATCAAGAGAATCCAAATAACATAAAAGCTGTTCTCAGGCCATCAGCAATATTGAAAATCATAATGGGTGACGATCCTTAGGTATTACAAGATCCTGAAGTTTCTTTTTAATCACCAAGAAAAATTACACTACGTTCATGAAGTTTTTAAAGTGAAGTATAACATATACGCCATTGTCAGAAAATTAAGCCACTATATAGATCTGTGATTTAATCAGAAGCCCTATTTTGAGAGGCAATCAAACAGAGCTTAGAACAGACTGCTTGGGTTCAAATTCTAGCTCATTAGCTGTGTGACCTTGGTGGGTTACTTAACTTCTCAGTTCCTCAATTTCTTCGACTGTAAACTGTGGATGATAACAGTGCCTAACTCAAGGGGTTGTCATGCTAAGAGTAAAGCCCTCAGAACAGAGCTGGGCACACAACAGGAACTCACTAACCATGAGCTCTTATTATCATCGGTGAAGCAGCTATCCTTTAAGCAGAGGCTCCCTATGTGCAATCAGCCTGCCTGCAATTCAGGACCTTGAATCGGGGAATGCTGAAGTCACCAGACCGCAAGAATCAAAGAAACATAAATCAATCCAAATGGAAATACGGATTATAGTTGCACGGTATCCCCTCTTCTTCTTAAATTCGTATTTTCCAAACTATCTTCATAATTCTCGCTTTCAATATACTGGAAATTATTTTCAGCCTGCACACCGCTTTGTAGCGAAATTGCTATTGGGCTATAACGAAAAGCAGGCTTTATTTCCTGTAGTGCAACAAGAAGCAAGTGGACGGGGATCAGGGACGGGAGCGCCAGTGTGACCGCACACTTCAGGGACTATGCTATCCCCTCCGAGTCTCAGTTTTCTTATTTCTAAAACAGAAAATAATCCCGACCTCACGGGATGGTTGGGAAAACTAAAACGAGTCCACGGATGGGCTGGGACCGGGGGGGAGGGGAAGGGCTCTGAACTTCCCGAAAACGTATACAAGACGTGCATATTCATAAATGTACATTTTGGGGGGAGGAGGTCCATGATTTTCATGTAATTCACAAAGGGCTCTGCAACAAGCACAAGTTATAGAACCACAGGGGTGCGGTGGGTGAAAGCACGGCAGGCGCCCCGTAAGAGGAGCTCCGAAGAGATCGGGTCTCCACGCCTCCCTGCCCCCGGGGAGCGATCAGAGGAGCGCCGCCCCCCTCAGGGCCGCCAGCAGGCACGAGGCTGCTTTGAGGAAACCGTCTGCCCCGCCGCCCCAGCGGCTGCGGTCTGCACTTCCTCAAAGGGGGCCCGAGTGAGCTCTAGGAACCGCCGCGCCGGCCGCCCCGGCCGGGAAGCGCAGCCCGCGGCCGCCGTGCCAGGAGCGCTTGCCCGCGACGCTTTGGGGACAGCGGGCCGGGGACTGGCCACTGGGGAGGCGGCGGGCAGGCGCGTCCCTCGGCTCCGGCCGGCCGGGGACAGGGACCCAGCCCGGGGCCGGGGCCGCGGCGGGGAGGGGAGGGCTCCCGAGCTCCCCCCGAGGCGCCCCGACTTCACCGGGCCCCCCCCCCCGCGCGCACCGTGGGGGTCCCGGCAGCGGCGAGCCAACCCCTGTGGGCTCCCGGGGGGCCGCCACGTCACGGAGGGTGTGCCCCGGGCTCCTTGGGCGGGGGAGGAGCGGAGGGGCGGCTCCAGGGCCGCGCCGAGCCCCGGACCCCCGGCCGGCCCCCTCCGCACCGCCCGGGCCCGCCGCGCCGCCCCTCACCTGCCTTCCAGGCTCCGGCGCGCACCATAGGCCTCCGACCAGGCGCCCCCAGGCCGCGCGCCGCCACGACGGTTGTAGCGCCTGTCTCTTTAAATCCGGGTCCTTGAGCTGGCCGCAGCGCGCAGGCGCAAAGGCCAAGGCCCACGGTACGCCGCGGGTCTCCCCGCCCCTCACCTGCCACGTGGGCTGTGGTCCGGTTGGACAGAGGGAGGACCTGGGCTCCGTGTGGGGGTGTGGGGGTGGTTCCCGGTCTGCGATCGCGGCGGAGGTGCGAGAACGTGGTGGCGCCCAGCGGCGCAGCCACCCTTGAACTTCCGAGGGTCCTCTGATTTGCTCAGTGTTAGAGTTGATCAAGTCCTTAAAGATACTGATTGAGAAACTGTTGTAATAAGCTTGGGGAAGGCAAAGACCGCGTGATTCAATCTATTTTTCTGTATTCCTTCTGTCTTGTGCCCCGCCCAGTGCGTAGCACATAGTAAGTATTCAATAAATAATTTTGAATTGAAAAGCAGCTCTAGATAGATAGATGTAAAGTGTAAAGGAGGGATGAGGAGAGTAACCCCTTGACTGTGGATCATTTAACCTGTATTCTCTCTCTTACACCTCCTGTTAAGTTTTTGAGAGATTAGGATGGCTATTTTTTTACAGAAGAATAGCAGGCTCAGAGAAGGTAAGTGAACTTGTTCAGGGTCTAGGAACGGCAAGCAATTGGGCATTGTTAGGTAAGCAAAGATCAGATCCTGGAGGGAATTCTGTGCTATGTGAAAAAGAGCTTGACCTTGGTTATGGAGGGGATGGAGAACCGTGAAGGGCCTTATGGAATAGTAACTACTGTTGAAGCTAGGTAGGGGAGAGGCTGAGGCAAGGGATCTTGGTACTGCCGCAGCAGCACGTACACTAAAATTAGAAAGATACAGAGAGTAGCATGTGTCCTGGGCAAGGATGACTCGCAAATTTCGGAAGCATTCCATATTTTTAAGGAAAAAAAGTGTTTTTCTTTTTGTTCTATCTATATGAGGTGATGGATGCCAACTAAACACTGCAGTAATCATTTTACAGTATATGTAACTCAAACCATTGTGCTGTACATCTTACACTGTATAGTGACTTATGTCACTTAGATCTCAGTAAAATTGTGGGGGAGAAAAGGTTCTTGTAGCGACCCCTGTGAGAGATGAAAGTAGCCCGAACAAGGTCAGTTAGTTGAGGTGGAGAGCAAGGCGGATTTTTTGATAAGTGTTTAGATTTTAAATTATCTTCTAGATAAAGCCCTCATTTACCTAAAGATGAAATGGGATGGCTTGGGTGAGCAAGTAGATAATGGTGCTGAACTGAAGTAGAAAATGAGAGGGGAGGAGGAGGTATTTGGGGTGAAAGGATGAGTTATGTTTTGAGTATATTAAGTTTGATTGGTTGAGGCCAACCGCAATCCCCCCTGTTTGAAGTGGGGAAAGTCTGTCTTGTGCCGCAGAAGGAACAAAATCTTTGGGATTAGAAGGTCACTGGAGAGTCAGATCCCAACGCTGGCAGTTGAGTGATCCTGAGCACGTCTCTATCACGACATTTATTACATTGTTTTGAAAACCCCCTTGACTGTATCTGTCTTTTTCCCTAGCCCTGTTCGGTCAGCATTAGCTACATGTGGCTTTCGAGCTCTTGAAGTGTGGCTAGTCTGAATTGAGATGCGCTATAGGTGTAAGATACACACCAATTTTTTTTTTTAAAGATTTTATTTTTCCTTTTTCTCCCCAAAGCCCCGCGGGACTTAGTTGTGTATTTTTAGTTGTGGGTCCTTCCAGTTGTGGCATGTGGGATGCTGCCCCAGCATGGCTTGATGAGTGGTGCCATGTCCACGCCCAGGATTCGAACCGGTGAAACCCTGGGTCGCCGAAGCAGAGCGCGCGAACTTAACCATTCGGCCATGGGGCTGGCCCCTGCTCACCAATTTTGAAGACGTGTTACCAAACAAAGACTGTAATATATCTCGTTAATCATATACTTACTTTACATGTTGAAGTGATATTTTGGATATGTTGGGTTTAATAAAAATATATTCTTAAAATTAATTTGAACTGTTTAATTCTTTGAAAATGTGGTGACTAGAAATATGAAACTGCATCCTTGGCTCACATTGTATTTCTGTGGGACAGCACTGCCCTAGACTTCAAACCTGTTTTTGGAGGGTGGCATCTGTACCTTATGCAGCTTTCTATCCGCCTTGCCTTGAACAGTACCAGGCACATGGTAGGCGCTCAGCAAACGTTTATGAAGCCCATGAGGGAATGGAATGAATGAATGAAGCTCTGAAAGTGATAAGCTCCCTGACAAGGATGTTCATTACATTGTATCTTTAACAATGTTTGGTGTAAATGTGCAAAAGGACTCAGGCTCTAAATGTTTGGCTTGATTCGAGCTCTGAGGGACCTCTAATGATGTCTTTGACTCGGGCCTCCCGCTGTAAAATGGCACTAGGTGTGAAAGTTGGCAGTTGCGTTTCCTTAGAGAAGTGGGATCTGCTGCCAAGGAGAATGCGGTAACGTGCGGTGGGAATAGCAGGGCTTTGGAATCACATGGACTTAGGTTTGAATTAATGTTCCACCACTGGCTGTGTAACCTTCGTCTATTTTCCTTACTTCTCTGGCCCTCAGTTTTCATGGTGAAATGGGGATAAAAATACCTCTTAGGATTGTGTGTGACAGTTAAATGAGATGACTTATATTAACTTGCAAACCGCTTGGCACTTAGAGGAATTTCAGTAAGTGTGCATTCTCCTCCGCTCCCCAGCCTGGATACATTCTTCCCCCTCAGGTCATCCATTCAGTCAGTCACCAGTCAGTGGAGTATTTATTGAGTGCCTGCTCTGTGTTCGGCACTGTTCCAGGAACTGAATGCAGCAGTGAAACAAAGCAGACAACCCCCTACCCTCGTGGAGCTAACAGGTTAGTGTGGGACACATAATAAACAGGAAGTAAGATACACAGCACATAAGGCGGTGATGGCGCTATGGAGAAAAGGCAGAGGAGGAGGATAGGAGGTGCCAGGCAGGTGGGGTGGGGGTGGCAGTTTTAAGTACAGTGGTCAGGAAGGCCTCACCAACAAAGTGACAACAGTAAAGACTTGAAGGAATGAAAGAGAGCCCCATGGAGTTCCAGGGTAGCCAGAGCAGCAAGCAAAGGCCCAGAGACCCGGATTTGTCTGTCCTGTTGGGAGATCAGCAAGGAGACAGGTGTAGCTAGAGCAGCAGGAGTTAAGGTTGAGAAGAGCTAGAGGTGAGGTCAGCAGGCTATCTGGAGACAGATCCTGTCGGGCCTTGTAAGCCACTGTAAAGATGTTGGCTTTTATTGCAGGTGAAACGGGAAGCTAGTGGATTCTGTTGAGCAGAGAAGTAACATGATTGTGACTTAGATTTTAACAGGATGGCTATCACTCTGGCTGCTGTGTAGAGGAACTGAGAGATGAGTTAGGTAGCTGCTGTAAAATTACAGGGGAGAAATGAGGGCAGCTTGGGTGGGAACAGTGAAAGTGGTAAGAAGTAACCTGAGGTTCATGGACCCCTAGGGGATGTGTGGATGGACTCAGGGTTCCCTGAAATTTTATATAAATATTTGTGTGTAAGTGCATTTTTGCAGGGAGAGCATTTATTGGAGTCCCAAGGTAGGTCCATGATCCAAATCAAGAACTATCTTGGTGACAAATGAGCAGGCTATCTCCTGCCTGTTCCTAGTTGTTCAAAGTCCCATGATGGCGTCTTTCTGTCAGACCTTGACCCTAAGTCCTCCAGCCACTGATGTGTTTGTGAGCCTCTCAGAACTTCTGCCACTCCCTTTAAGACTGTAGCATCCTTGACTTCCAGTTTAGACTCATCAGGATTGTTAAGAAGAAGAAAAAATCACAGGGAAATGGGTAGATTCTGTTCCTATTTTATGCAACTTGCTATGGAAGCTTGGCGGCCACAGGCAGGAACAGAGAAAATGCTTCACACCTTCCTAGAGATGGTGCAGGGCACTCATGAGGCTAGTTTGAGCTCATGGATTCCTTTTTTAATAAGCGCTGGTCTTTGAATCACATAAATCTCAGCACTGAGAGCTGATTTTATGGTTTGGTTTGCTTAATAGTCACACAATTAAAGTATGTTGTAAAAAACGGTACTGGTGTTTGCCAGGATAAATATTTAAAAGGGAACAGCTGTAGGAAGATGTCATAATTCAAATCAGCTCATGGCTCTTCATTCTCAGTAAAGCTGTACAGATTGGTTCTTTTTTTTTTCTTCTTCTTCTTCTCCCCAAAGCCCCCCAGTACATAGTTCTATTTTCTAGTTGCAGGTCCTTCTGGTTGTGCTATGTGGGACACTGCCTCAGCATGGCTTGATGAGTGGTGCCATGTCTGCACCCAGGATCTGAACCGGCAAAACCCTGGGCCACCGAAGCACACTCGGCCACGGGCCGGCCCCTGGTGATTAGTTCTTAACCAGAGGGGTGTTTTGGCCTCTCCTTTGAATATCCGTGTGCTGCAGCTCTCAGCTTGGGGTAGGAGAGAGCCGAGAGAAGTTGAGTCCAATGTGCCTCTGGGAATAGCTGACCCTTGGCATAGAGACAGGGACTTCGGGAGGCAGGGTTGAGGTCACAAATAATGGAGTGAGGGAGCCTCCAGTCTTCCCTAAACTTCTAGGTTGGGTTTTCTAGTATGGAGTCTTGGTGGTCATGTTTTTTAGGAGGCAAGTTAATCATTTTCAAAGGGGAAATTTATTTTACAAAGCTATGAGCCTATTTGGGAAGCAAACTTAAGTTCTGACTCCTCCCCTGGACTCTGGGCTGGTTGGTAGGCAGCACTGATGACAGTCGGTTTTCCAGCTCTGGTGTGGTGGCAGAGGTTGAAGACAGGGTTAAATACTTCCTTCCTCTCTTGTCCCTCATGCCATTTTCTTTATACCAGGAGAGCCCCTCTTCCTCTTTTCTCCTCTGGGAGCTTCCACACAAACCCTCTTACTGAAGCCTTCCAACCATGCAACCCACTGTGCTCTCCGTCTCCTGCCTTCAGCTCTTGTCCTGGTCTTGGTGATTGTAAAGGAAAAAACTGTATTGTTTCCATTTACATTACACTCAATACTCTCTGAATATTACTTAACTTTTGACACCAGACGTGTGGGTTTTCCACATCAAGCAATTCTGTGACACCTGCTGGGTGTCCTACAATTTAATTCAATTCGGACACTATCTACCTGAAGTTATTGTCAGATCCCACAGGTTAAGGGCTCAGTCCCACAAGACTGCCCCCCTCACTACTTCACACACCAATCGCAAGTCCAGGTTGTTACCTGTGCTTCTGACTGACCAACTATAGATCAGGGCTTCCTATGACCCCCTCCTTGGGTTCGATCAATTTGCTAGAGCGGCAACAGAACTCAGGAAACAGTTTACTTACTAGATTGCTGGTTTATTATAAAAGGACGTTAACTCAGGAACAACCAGATGGAAGAGATGTGTAAGGCAGGGTATGGGTGCGAGCTTCCATGCCCTCTCCAGGCCTGCCACCCTCCCAGCACCTCCACATGTTCATCAACCTGGAAGCTCTTGAACCCCATCCTTTTGTTTTTTATGGAGACTTCATCACATAGCCATGATTGATTAAATCATTGGCCATTAGTGATTGAGCTCAAGCTCCAGCCTCGTCCCCTCCCTGGAGGGGGTGGGTGGAGCTGAAAGTTCTAACCCTCTAATCAGTGGTTGGTTCCCCTGCCAACCAGCACTCATCCTTAAGGGGTTACCGACAGTCACCTTATTAACGTAAACTCTGGTGTGGTTGTGAATAACAAAGGACAACTTTATCACTCTTATAGCTCTAATCACATAGGAAATTCCAAGGGTTTTAGGAGCTGTGTGCCAGAAGCTGGAGGAAGGTCAAAATACGTATTTCTTATTTTAAACCACACTATCACAGTGATAGATGTAGGTGGGAGGGTCCTTAGGGAGTACCCAGA